GCCGCGCTCCGAACCGTACACTGGTCTTGTGTATATTTTGCGGGCCAGGGCCCCATGAATTCATGGTGACTTGGAGGCTATACTTAACACAAACAGCGGCCTCGACGCGCTTGCGTTGTCAGCACTGCTGCCTTGCCTTTGGCCTCTAACGCGGCGTGCCGTGCGCCTCGCGACCCGTGTGTGTGTTGGAGAGATGCCGGACCCGTGTGTGTGTTGGAGAGATGCCGGACCCGTGTGTGTGTTGGAGAGATGCCGGACCCGTGTGTGTGTTGGAGAGATGCCTGTCCGAAGGCGAGCGGCGGCAGCGCGGCGTGCCGTGCGCCTCGCGACCCGTGTATGTGTTGGAGAGATGCCGGACCCGTGTGTGTGTTGGAGAGATGCCGGTCCGAGGACGAGCGGCGGCAGCGCGGCGTGCCGTGCGCCTCGCGACCCGTGTATGTGTTGGAGAGATGCCGGACCCGTGTGTGTGTTGGAGAGATGCCGGTCCGAGGACGAGCGGCGGCAGCGCGGCGCAAGGCTGTCATCCGGTCGAACACGTGACTCCACCGCCATGCCGTCGATGTGAGGCGAGCGTGCGGCGACTGTCCGGTGGGACGCTGGCCAGGGAGGTGCCATAGCGTGTCCGATTATCCCAGGCGATCGTATCCTGTGGCATGGCTGCTCTGGTAATGCTGTCAATAACCCCGGATTTCCCTCCGCGCGGTCATTCAGTGGCATGTGTGCTGTTTCGTTCCGCCTGGTCCTTACACAGTCGGGCCGTCGGGCGATGCGGACTATTTGGAGTATTGCTGGGCCCAGCTGGCCCCGCGGACCAGCTGGGCCCAGCTGCGGGTGCCAGCAGGTGCCAGCATTCCGCCCCGGCCGCGCCTGAGCCCGCCGGAAGCCGGGCCAGCCCGCCGGTGACCAGCTCGGCGCGTCGGCGGCGGCGGCGGCGGCGGCCGCGCCACGTGGACGCCGGCCTCTCCGTCCGTGCAGGGTCACGGCCGCGCCTGTGTTGAGCCGCTGGTGACGTGGTAAGCGGTGGCTGTTGCGCCACGCGGCCTCGCGCTGGGCCGAGGCGGTGGCGGTCGGCGTCGGTGGTGCGATAAGGCCGCACCAGGCTCAGGTGCTGTGGGCTTCGGCCGGCCGGGCAGGTAGCATTTATTTCCCGTCTTTGTTCGTATGCGCCCTTGGGCCCATGCAGGTGGCCGTTGACAGAGTGGTGTGCGTGCAGCTGGTGCGTGTCTCACTTTACATATGTCGACGCCACGCATTAAAACGCATCGCAGAAACCTTGCCGAGATAGGGAGTAAGTACGTGACGCTGTCGGGACGACGTCGTCGGAACCCTAGGCTACCGTGGCGGCCGAACGATGGGGATGGCTCGGCGGCGCGGTCCAACGGGGAGCCAGCTGGCAGTACCAGGATACCTGCAAATGCAGGTTACCGAGTTTAGCAGATGTAAGCCGGCTGCCGGGTACGCCACTCCCCGGCCGGCGTGGCGACTGGCTCGGCGAACGGAGCGGAGCGGCCACGGCCGCTCCTAAGGTGGATTCAGATACGCTCCATCGGCGCTGAATGTCGCCATTGGCTGCGAGCAGGTCGGCTCCCCCACCTGAGATCTCGGGTCTGGGCAACGATTGTGATCGCTGGGGTCGTACAGGAAAGGTTGGTGTCTGACCAACTTTGGCATCCGGAATTAGGTTTCGACAGCAATGACAATGTAAGTGGCGCGCTTGAGACGAAGGGGAAGTAAATTTCAACAATTCTTAACGAAATTATGTGTATCCCTTTTTTACACTCACAGATGCCGAGAGCACATCTAAAAATTGATTTCCTGTCCATACGTAGCATCCCTATGCGCCAGAATCTAAACGTCGGTCGGTCAGTTACGGAACCTTACTAACACCAGACAACTGCAAACGAACCATCTCCTCTGCCAGCACCTTTGAATGTGAAGTACCGCATGCACTCACTCCTGTTACACAACCCCGCAACCCCTCTCCTGTTAACCCCGCAACCCGTCTGCTGCTGCGCATGAGAACTATTGACCCGCGGACAGCAAACACTGACTTGTCGACACCCTGGGGTGGTTTCCTCCGTCCGAAGCAGTCGCACCAGCCACCCTCACCTTGTCGACACCCTGTGGTGGGCCTCCTTCGTCCGAAGCAGTCGCACCAGCCACCCTCACCTTGTCGACACCCTGTGTGGGCTCTCAGTCTGAAGCAGTCGCACCAGCCACCCTCACCTTGTCGACGCCCTGTGTGGGCTCTCTCAGTCTGAAGCAGTGGCACCAGCCACCCTCACCTTGTCGACACCCTGTGTGGGCCTCCTCCGTCCGAAGCAGTGGCACCAGCCACCCTCACCTTGTCGACACCCTGTGTGGGCCTCCTCCGTCCGAAGCAGTGGCACCAGCCACCCTCACCCCATCGACGCCCTGTGTGGGCTCTCTCTGTCTGAAGCAGTGGCACCAGCCACCCTCACCTAGTCGACACCCTGTGTGGGCTCTCTCCGTCTGAAGCAGTGGCACCAGCCACCCTCACCTTGTCGACGCCCTGTGTGGGCTCTCTCAATCTGAAGCAGTGGCACCAGCCACCCTCACCCCATCGACGCCCTGTGTGGGCTCTCTCCGTCTGAAGCAGTGGCACCAGTGACAGTGGCAGAAGCAGTGGCAGCGGCAGTGGCTCGACAGCTGGCCTTTCCCGTGTCTCATTGCTTTGCTCATCGAAATAACAAGAACAGTCAAATCTCGCGCGTTCTTCTGCATTGCGACGCGATGTTAGGGCTATGGCCTCGGGCTGGAGCCTGAAAACGTATTAACAAGCTAACTTTTATTCGCTGGTGGCTGCAGGATCTTGAAAAGAAGGGGATGTAAGGAAAAAGTATTTGACATCGAACGAACCATTCCATTTCACCTAATAGTGTTTGGCCGTCTATCCCGTTAAGCGTCGCGTATATCCGTCTTTGGCGGGAGCCGGATCACTGCCACGTGCAGGACAGACCGAGGTGGGTGGAAGCGCTGGCTCGGTGCGGCCTTGGCATGCGCGCAAGCCATAACAGTGACCGCTCCCCTCTCCGCCTTCCCCAGCCGCATGCTCCAAGTTGTCCGGATTGGAAGTTGAGCAATTATCACGCCGCAGAGTGTCCTGGGCTCGTCCTTGGCACCTTTTCCATTGGCCAGCGCCATATCTGTGCTTCGACATGGAAAACACGGCGGCCAAAAACTTTGCTAGGCCAGCATGCAATACATGAGCACACGCTCACCTCATTAAGGAGCACACAAACCAGAGTTGGTTCTGTACGTCCGTCTAAGACATTTTTGCTCAGTGCGCGTGATGAATAGGTATCTAAAGTACGTTTCAGGTGTCATTTTTATATTTGTTTAACGCGAGCTTTCAGTAGCATGAAGCACTGTGTTAAACTTCTCATGAAAGGAATGCAGCTTGCCTTCATGTAAGTCCCGCAAATCTGACCTAGAGTTGTCCCTGGTTACTTTATGGCAATAGGCTTTGGGATATTGATGATGGGTGGTTGGGAACATTTACCTGCTGCCATCGCTTTTAATGCAACGGTTTGTGACGATCTGGGGAAAACCACAGCGGGGCAGCATCAAACCCCGCATGAAGATGGAGCTGGGAAAGGATGAGATCAGACCCTGAGGGCTCGGCCGGCAGCCCGGGCACCTTACTCGTTATGGGCCCAGACGGGGCCCGGCCGTGGGCGAGCTCATTGCCAGCAGCTCCGCGCGCGGCCCCTACGCAGTGCATCCGCTCGTCGCGCCACTCCAGGTCCGTCACCGTCACGCGCACCAAAGCCGAAGCGGCGCGCCGGCACCGGACTCCTACATCTCGCAACGCCGGCGCGGATTCGCTAGGCCGTGCTGATCCGCCAAGACCGCGGTAATACACAACAGTTTGTTTTCGCGCAGGACCAGCTGTTGCTCCACACGGTTATGAGCGGTGCCGCGGGCGGGGCGGACGAACGGCGCGCGGCGCATGCTATCGGTGTGGCTGGCGCCCGCCGTCGCCGGGACCCGAGCTACCGGTGTGGCTGGCGCCTGCCGTCGCCGGGACCCGAGCTACCGGTGTGGCTGGCGCCCGCCGTCGCCGGGACCCGAGCTACCGGTGTGGCTGGCGCCTGCCGTCGCCGGGACCCGAGCTACCGGTGTGGCTGGCGCCTGCCGTCGCCGGGACCCGAGCTACCGGTGTGGCTGGCGCCCGCCGTCGCCGGGACCCGAGCTACCGGTGTGGCTGGCGCCCGCCGTCGCCGGGACCCGAGCTACCGATGTGGCTGGCGCCTGCCGTCGCCGGGACCCGAGCTACCGGTGTGGCTGGCGCCTGCCGTCGCCGGGACCCGAGCTACCGGTGTGGCTGGCGCCCGCCGTCGCCGGGACCCGAGCTACCGGTGTGGCTGGCGCCCGCCGTCGCCGGGACCCGAGCTACCGATGTGGCTGGCGCCTGCCGTCGCCGGGACCCGAGCTACGGATGTGTCTGGCGCCCGCCGTCGCCGGGGCCCGAGCCACCGGTGTGGCTGGCGCCCGCCGTCGCCGGGGCCCGGGCTGTGCTGTTACACGTGCGAAGCTCCCTTGATCGGCGGGGTGGCCGTAATATATGAGTCGGGAACATCCGCCGTTGTTGACATAGCTGCGCGGCCCAGCTACGCCCCTGTCGGTGTTGTCGTTGCCGCGTTTAACAACACCGTGCACCTGTGCGGCCGGTCGGCGCCCCGCTCCTCCCCCCCCCCCCCCCCGCGTGAGTTGGCCGGGCGAGGACTGCTACAGCCGCGCCTGCTTTTCGTCTATGATGCCGCGGAGGACATTAGTGTTTCTTCTCACGATTAGAGCTCACCGTAAAGCTAATCATAATATAAGAACTCACCGTAAACGTTACCGCAAGCGGGAATCGATCGCAGATGCTGGACCATGTTGCCAGACTGCTGCAATGTCGTGCTCATTGCCGTGCCGTGGACATGCTCCCAACGTGGACCTACCGCCGTCGATGACATCATTGCCGGCCGTTTCAGAGGTCATATCCACTTCCGGCTGGCTGCCTCCGAGCTGGAGCAGGTGTACGTGGACCCGGAGGAGGCGGCCTTCATCACCAATGTGCGGCGCGGCTTCCTGCACGTGCTGCGCATCAGCCGGCCACGGCTCGAGAGGCCGGGCAAGGTCGGCAGCGGCCTGCACGCCCGGCCCTGTCCCCTCTCGCTCTCCGTGTCTGTGCCCGTTTTGTCAGTCCCCGAGTCTGCTATAGCAGCGTGTTGTCGCTGTTCGCCTGTTATCGTTCGTTGTGCGCATTGGTTGAGAGCCTCAATTGGTCCGTTGTCCGTTCAAATGGCAGCTCGCTGAGAGATAAAGTGTGTCTCCGCGGGCCGTGCCACCGGCTCCGGGGCCGGGGTGCGGCTGTCAGCTGTCAGCTGTCAGCTGCCGGCTGTCAGCTGCCGGCTGTCAGCTGCCGGCTGGCACCCGGCCGCCGGATCCCAGCTGGTGAGGCCGGCTGGTGACGTGAAAGACGGCGATGATGACCACAGAAGTACATCGTTTCGATGTGGATTCCTGAACTAAAATTGATTAGCCTGATGTGGCACCACGTGATGTCGACGGAAGAAGATGTATCGACATCACTTGGCGGTCCAGCAGGCGTCTGGTATTGGGTTCTGCGCATAGACATATTGGCCTACTCGCTTGCGCGTGCTTATCTGCAGAACGGTTTACATTTTTCGCTGTCATGTCAAGCGACGAAATTTTATCCAGTGACAAACCCTTTTGAATATTCGCCCACCTGGTACAATTGTTACAGAGGCTGCGTGACGAGTTGAGCAGTTTGCTAAGCAGTTTACTCCCCAAAACGGGACGAAACAAAGGCCAGGTAATGGGTTATTCGTGGGTTGCGCGCAGTTGTCTTCATCAGCTAACGTTTACAAACTGTGCAGAGGTATGCTAAAAACATCAGGAACCCGATTTGAAATCAGACACTTAAACGCCGTATTTCATTCATCTGGATACATGCAGTTGACTATATTTCACTCAACTATAATATCTGGGGCCTCGTTCCCCATGACCAAACGCCGTTCGCAAGTGGCAACCTATGACATCAGAGGTCAGTGCTTCACAACAGTGCCTATGGCTTGAAGGATTGTCGTTTGTATATCATGTAGGCACTTCTTTCGTCATACGCAGCAACTCGGGTAGGTACTTTGTCAATGGGGAACGCGGCTGAGAAGTCCCCTGTTGTTACGCGCGCTCACCGGCAACGAGCGCATCGGTGCTCGTCTGTGCTTGTTGGCATTGGATGCCTTGTGGCCAGGCCACGGTGGTGCGGCACTGGGTCCCTCATTTTCACCGTGCTGAAACGCAGGAGTAAGCCCTGGTCCGCGTCAGGTAGGGCGCGGTCGGCGGCTTTTGCGCGTGCGCTTGTGCGCAGGCGTGCCGCTCTGGGCGCGGCGCGATAGCCGAACTGATACGGGACGATCGCAGGGTCGGCCCGGGCGCCGGGTGCCGACCCCAGCCGGCCGCTGGCGGGCCCCGGTCAGCTGGTCTGCCGAGCGACGCCGGGTGCCGACCCCAGCCGGCCGCTGGCGGGCCCCGGTCAGCTGGTGTGCCGAGCGACGCCGGGTGCCGACCCCAGCCGGCCGGTGGCGGGCCCCGGTCAGCTGGCGTGCCGAGCGACGCCGGGTGCCGACCCCAGCCGGCCAGTGGCGGGCCCCGGTCAGCTGGTGTGCCGAGCGACGCCGGGTGCCGACCCCAGCCAGCCAGTGGCGGGCCCCGGTCAGCTGGTGTGCCGAGCGACGCCGGGTGCCGACCCCAGCCGGCCGGTGGCGGGCCCCGGTCAGCTGGTGTGCCGAGCGGCGCCGGGTGCCGACCCCGGGCGGCCGGTGGCGGGCCCCGGTCAGCTGGTGTGCCGAGCGGCGCCGGGTGCCGACCCCAGCCGGCGGGTGGCGGGCCCCGGTCAGCTGGTGTGCCGAGCGGCGCCGGGTGCCGACCCCGGGCGGCCGATGGCGGGCCCCGGTCAGCTGGTGTGCCGAGCGGCGCCGGGTGCCGACCCCGGGCGGCCGATGGCGGGCCCCGGTCAGCTGGCGTGCCGAGCGGCGCCGGGTGCCGACCCCAGCCGGCCGGTGGCGGGCCCCGGTCAGCTGGTGTGCCGAGCGGCGCCGGGTGCCGACCCCAGCCGGCCGGTGGCGGGCCCCGGTCAGCTGGTGTGCCGAGCGGCGCCAGACTCTCGCCGCCGTCATCCCTGGCTCTGCGGGACTCGAGGGACTGTCGTCTTTTGAGTGGGCTGTTTTGAATCGTACGCTCTGGGTCAGAGAGTTGCTGACGAGTCGCGTTCATTCAATCAGTACCCATAAGCTGTGAATGGTATATCCAGCGGAAATGGAATGTGCTGGCCTCGGTGTTGCAGACAAGTCTGCCGGCTGTGCAAAACAAGTAGTGGCCTCAGGCCATGGCCAGCGTTTTCAGTTCATGCTGCCGGCTCAGTCCTGTGTCCTTGTCGTGACTACTGCTGGCTGCGGTGTCAGACGCCGACTCCGTGAGGCGGCTGCTGACTCCGTGTCACGTCCGTCTGGCGACCGCTACCGCCGGTGCGCTGCATGATCCACAACTGACGTTTCAGACGGTGGACGGCGACTGCGAGTGGACTGTTAGCCGCACTCCTTCCGGCCGCCAGCGGGTGGAGCGGTCCCGGGGCTGCGACCCGGCACAGAATCAGCCCAGTGTGCTCTCACCCTTCTCACCGATTTCCTCCCTGGTGGGTTCGCTTAGTAGGCTGCCACGCAGGCGGTCTGCGTGTTAATAGATCGACTGTGATATTCCCTGAAACTTGTTCATGTTAACCCAAGGTTTATGAACGTCACGCAGGATCGCAATGCAACCCTGATGGGATGTACATGAACGCTGATATACAACGCTGATGGGATGTACATCAACGCTGATATACAACGCTGAGGGGATGTATGTGTGTGCCATCGGAAGTGTTTGGTTCGCGTTGCTCTGTGCTGAGCCGGTGGGCGCGTGCGGCCACCGGCCCAGCCAGCTCTGTGGGCGGGCAGTGACGCGGCGCCGCTGCCGGCTGTAGCGGGTGCTGGAGGACCAGCTGGCGGTGTCGTCGGCCTGCGAGTACGAGGCCGATTGGGGCGAGCTGCGCGCCGCCGCCTGCCGCCAGACGTGGCAGCTGCACCCTCCCGGCCGGGCCGCCGCCGACCTCGTCCAGGTGGTGGTCACGTGAGTCAGGCGCTGGCGGCAGCACGAGCTCACAGCCGGCTGCTCCACCGGCCCCAGCGGGCCAGCGAGACCGCTGGAGCCTTGTACGAGCCCCAGACCAGGGATCGCACGCACACTTACCGCACGCACAAATGGAGTAAAATGAGGCCATTGGGCTGCATGGGCGTAATCACGTGCCTGAGACTAAGGTGGACAGATGGGGATTGGGAGGATCAGAGCGGAATCCGAGGGGGGGGGGGGGGGCAGTTATCCCGCACGCGGCGCCGGCACACCGTCGCCGATCGTTGCGAGGTGCGGAGTCTCAGCTCATCGCAGGCGGTGGCTGAGAGGCATGGCCGCTGGCGGGCCGCCGTTGACCGGGTTCCGACCGCTCACAGGCAGGACCTGAGTCTACTGTCGACGCGCGCCGCCGACCCGCCGCTGGAGCGCAACACGCGACAGGCGGGCGCCGCCTTCCAGCTGCAGGACTCGGCGCCGTTCGTCGACGTCGGGGACAACTCCGGTGAGGGGCCGGCGGGAGCGGCCGGAGGCAGTGAGACGGTGAAGCCGGGCAGAACGAACCCAGCTGAGATAAGCAGGCTGTACCGTCTCCGGGGGAGGGCGGCAGCAGTACCGTGGCCTACTGCATGTTTCTAGCGATGGGTCGTGTTGCTGTGCTCAGTGGGCACTTGTACCGTCATGTGTTGTCTGTGTTTGTGCGCTGTTTCCACCGATATGTCTGCCGGCGAGGACCGACGCCGTTTACCTATTTGGTACGTCTTGGCACGTGGACGCCGTCGCTGTGTACCGAGTGGGAACCTGAGTAGGTGCTGCTCGAGGCCGCCACCCAGAGCCACCCAGAGCCGGTCGATACCCATCTCGAGTGTCAGTACCCAGCGCTCTCTCCGATAGCGGCGCTATCGTACACCAGCGAACCATGGCGACGCACCGCCTGGCCCTGTGATACGCGGAGCCCTTGACGCCCCCTGGACGGGACAGCACGTGCTTCGCGTTATGGTGCATCGGCTGGCGGACTGTTGCTGTGCGGGCCGCGGGAGAACGGCGGCTGAGCCGGCCGCTGTGGCCCGACTGAGATGTGGCCGGCCGGGGCTGGGAGCGGTCGGCGCGCGCCGCCCGCTGGGACGTCACCAGCTGGTGTGGCCGCGTTTCTGTCGGAGCCGACAGACAGCCTGGCCATCGGGCGGTGCTGGCTGGCGGCGGGCGGCGGGCGGTGGCCGAGCCGGCCGGGATGGCTACCGGCCCGGCCGGCGGATCAGGTGTCCGATAGGTCTGGTGGCCCCATCACGAGACCAGATGGTGCGTGCTCATCGCGCTGCTGGTCCGGGAGCATGCTCCTCCCAACCGCGCCACACAGAGCAGGCCGGCCGGTATTCGTGTCACGCCGGCTAACAGTGAGGGGTGTAGCGCGCCGTTCCGCTATTTGCGCGCTGCATACTGGGTGAGGACGAGGAAACGGACTCCAGTTTCTCCCTCGACCGTTTTCGTATTTTCGAAATGGATGTTTTGAGAATTTTGAAAATTGCCATCTTCTGGCGATGATGCGTCGCCGGGGCGGGTCGGCAGCCAGACCGGGCGGGGGATGCCCAACAGCGGCGCGCTCCGCCAGGGCGGCCGCGGCCCCGCAGCCACCCCCGCAGATCTGCCGACAGCGGGAACGGCAGATTGCTGACCCCGGCCCTCGGGCTGTCACTGTGTACACTTTGACGTGGTCCTGAGCCCCCCCCCCCCCCCCCACACACACATTCTCATTCGAGCCATCTTTATGCTCTTCTGGGCGCCCTTATGCGTATGAGCATATACGAAAATACTAGGGCAATGAAGTGCTGCGAATGTCTAAACTGCTGTTATACGAGGTATTTAAACACATCACAATATTATCATCCATCATCATATATCATCATTCATACCATCACGTCGGCGTCGATTGACGGGAACGCAATCAATGGCCAAATGGTCAAAATTCGGGGAGAAGTCAGTGTCTGGGCTAGAGACGGCGCGCTGTGTCGCCTGTGAGTCAGCGCAAACATAAAAGTTCCCATTCGCCGTTGCCGAGTTCCCTGTGACCAGCTCTGGCACCAGTGGGCTGCGAATAGACGGCCGTTGTCGGGTCGGCCGGCGAGCGAGGCCGCTGCTGGTCTCGCCCATCTCTACAAAGCTGTCCTTCAGTTTCCCCTGGCGGTCGGTCTGTGCTGAGTCTCTGTGGATTGCCGGCACTGCTAGGCCCGGCTGTATTGGGTTACGCCGTCCCGTGAGTCGCGTTCAGCAGGCGCCGTGTCCAGTCACGTCCAGGCTGAGTAGCGTGCGTGAGCCCAGTCATCCGCTGAGATGGCTCTCCTTACATCTGAACCGGTGCTCCGTTCGGTTTCAGTGTTCGGTCGCCTTCGAGATCTCATATCCTCCAGTGTTCCATTGATGACTCCGGAAACGCCGCAGAAGTTCACAAATTTGCTACGTGCGCTCAGGCGGAAATATGAGAACCCCCTTCACATGTCCGACAACTGCACAGATTGTGCGACCTTCGGAAAGGTATGTGACGTGCCACGCGCGCTGCCATCAGTAACCGTCTGCCACAGTCGGCCAACAGGAGGCGCAGCTATCTAACGACAATGCTGACAGGACGGGCGGACCCAGTTACCGCGGTAATCGCCCCGCTCGCTAGGTTGAACCGAGCAACAGCGTGAGACACGGCGCGGCCTTGAACTCAAATCGTCATGGACACCGGATTGAGAGCATTGGCCATGCCGTGAGCCGCAAGGTTCGGGTGTGTGGCCTGCGTCTGTAGTGAGCGGCCGCCGATCTGGCGTCGCCGCCTGCTGACCGCTGCTCACGGTGTCGGCCGGCAGGAGGTGATGGACTCGGCGGCGCGAACGGCCGTGCTGCAGTGCGGCTCGGCCGCCTGCCTGCGCGAGGTGGCCGCCATGGTGCGCTCGGGCGAGCTGACGGGCGCTCGGCTCACGCCTCTCTACCTCACCTGGCACTGGACGACGGTACGGAGCCGGCCGGCGCTGCACGCGGAGGACGCTCTGAGGCGTGATCGTCAGAGCACTGGCACGAGCCGGGACCGGGACGTGCCATTGTTTTCATGTCGGACGCTGATCTGTTTAGTCTCCCGAAACAGCCGCCGGTAGGGCTAGCCCCGTAGCCAAACGGCCAGCATATTATGCACTAACACGATGCCTCACTGTGTAATAAGCGTGTTGACCCATTTAGAGGCTGGGGCATTCTGTCTCTAATTGCACCTCTGGCAACACCGCTATCTTCCCACCGTGATGTGGACTACGAGGCCAGCAGTTTTCTCCTTCACGCCCACCCCCGATCGCTCTGACGCCCCCCCCCCCCCCCCCCCAGATCCGCGATGTTGAGAGCGCGCACAGCATGTACTCGCTGTGCGAGCTGGCGCCTACGCGCTGGTGTCTGCTGGGCCTGGCGGGCGCCCTGCGACGCAGCGCCGCCGCCGGGCCGCGGCTCACGGCCGTGGTTGACCGGTTGCGCCGCACCGCCGTCGACATGATCGGATCGCGCTGCGAGGGCGGTGACACCGCCGTGCTGATGGCGCTCAAGGTGGGCGGCGGCGGCGGCGGTGGTCCGCGCGCCGGCCGGCGTCGCACGGAGCGCGCTCTGGCCGGCTGGAATGCTGACTGATTGCGAACTTTGGGTTTCTTCAGAGATGTGACACGCCCTGTTTGTTGTGTTTTGCCTTTTGGAATCTGTTTACCCATCGCTCATGATTTGTTTCACCTTCGTTTTGGTTTACGCCTATGCAGACAGAGGGCGCCACGGTGCTCGCTGTTGCCCGCGTCGGCCGGCCAGCGGTTAGGGCGCCGCTTGCCTCCCCGGGCACTGCCCACTGATCGGTACTCCTGCCGCGGCCAGACTGGAGCACTGCTTGCCTCCCCGGGCACTGCCCACTGACCGGTGCTCCTGCCGGGGCCAGACTGGAGCACTGCTTGCCTCCCCTGGGCGCTGCCCACTGACCGGTGCTCCCGCCGCGGCCAGACTGGAGCACTGCTTGCCTCCCCTGGGCGCTGCCCACTGACCGGTGCTCCTGCCGCGGTCAGACGCTGAGTAACCTGGGCGACCTGGCACTGGACGACTTCGCCACGCTGTCGGTGGTGCGGAGCTGTGCCTCGGAGCCCAGCCGGCCGGTGCTGGTGGCCAGCGAGGCGGTGCGCACGCTTGACAGGGCCCGGCTGCCGCCCAAGTTCGCCACCGTCCTCCAGGTAACGGCACACCGGGGCGGCGGTGGAGCTGGAGCGGAGGTGCCGCGCCGCTCGGTCTGAACAGACTTTGTGCGCATGCGCGTCAGTGGGCTGACGCAGCTGTCAAGGTTTTCATTTGCGCCCGTATCAGCGACACAGTGCTATGTTAGGGAGCCCTGAAAAGGGAGGGAGTGGATAGGTCGATGGTAGAGTGGCGCTAGAATGTGCTATGTTAGGTACATCCTGTGCTTCTGTGGTGGGAAACACTTGGACAAACATGCGAGAAGAGTCAAATCATCCCACAGAAAAAAAGGTGCTGACGAGTATCTATGCGCTGCAGATACGCCGAAACCTTTTCACATGATGTGGAAAAGCGCGGGTAATAGACGGTGATGACTTGCACTGTGTCGGTGCGCTGTTAAGGCATGAAAGTCGCTCTCCCACGTGCTCACAATACCGGCCGCCGCGTCTTTGGTTACCCAACTTCGCGCATGCCTCGTGATGTGTTCTCTGGGCATGTCCATGTCCGAGTCCGTTTGGCGCCGCCGGCGGCCTCCGTAGTGGCGCGCCGCCCTCAGCCGCGCCCTCCGCGCCGTTGCAGGACCTGTACAAGGACGAGCGGCACGCGCTGGTCACGCGCCAGCTGGCCTACCTGGCCCTGCTGCGCCGCTTCCCGACGGAGCGTTGGTTTCGCATGGCGCTGAGGTGGGCGACGGCCCACCCTTCCGACGCGCTCTCGACGTTCGTGATGCGCCACTTCAAGCGCTTCCCGCGCACCGACCCGCGCCGCGCGCTGACTCGGCGCGTGGCGGCCGCGCTCTCCGTCGACCTGGAAGCCGTCACGGACGGCCTCTTCAACTCGCCGAGCGTGTCGACAGTGCGCGAGCTGCGTCTGGACCGCTGGCTGCAGATGGCGCTGCCGTCGGTGCCGGCGCCCGAGGCCGGCGTGCAGCTGTGGCGGCTGCACGGTGCCTCGTTCCTGCCGCACCTGCTGCTGCTCAACACGACGCTGCGGCTGGGTGGCGGCGGCGCTACGCCGCTGCAGCTGGAGCTGCGCGCCGTTGACTTCGAGCGCTTCTTGCACGACCTGGTGCGCGACCCCGAGTTCGATTTGACGACGGCGCGCGGCGCGCTGCGCGAAGTGGCGCAGGCGGTGCTGGCGGCGTTCGGCGGCTGGTTCGGCGGTGTCAGCTTCGTCAGCGCTTCTGGCGCGGCCGCGCCTGGCCAGCTACGCCTGTCGCCGGACGTCTCCGCCTGGCTACGGCGCCTGTTGCAGGCGTACCAGGCTCGCACAGCGCTGCCCGACGGCCAGCCGCGAGCTGTGCTTACCGTCAGCGTAATGGGCAGTCAGCTGGCGTACCTGACGGCCGATGACGTCATCAGCCGGCTGGAGGCGTTCGACCCGCCGCCAGAGCCCATCCACGTCCTCGGACGCAAGCTTTTCCACTCAGAGACCATCTTTAAATTCCTGGAGGGACAGCACAGGGTGAGCGCCGGCTCCTCTTGAGCTGGATATCCAGGCTTGACTGGCGTGAAGTTTGTCTCTCCACCTCTTATTGTGGATATCTTGCTTGGTTCACACGCGCGCTGGCGAGCGTTGTCTGTGTTCGTTCCGTCATTTTGTGCCCTTCTGCAACATGCAGAATCCATGCCAGGTATAACATTTGTACGCGATGCATTAAACTTGGATATCTTAGCTCATACTGCGCCACATCCATGTCAGACCTGTTGGTGTTTGTTGCCTGAGAAGTTTGCGTGTCAGCGTGTGACGGCGGGCCTGGCGGCGGCAGGTGGCGCTGGCGGTCGGTCTGCCGCTGCAGATGTTCGCGGACGGCACGCTGGCGGCCGGCGCGGCGGCCGAGATCTCCAGCCGCCTCGGCCGGTCCTACCGCAACATGTCGGAGGCGTTCAACGGCGACGCCCAGCTGTCAGCCAGGTGAGGCCAGTGCCGTCGACGCCAGCCCACGTCCCAGACCTGCGCCGATTCACGGCGATTTGGCGACAAGGCCTGGGATTGTCGTCGGATCAGCCCATGTGATCTTATGAAGTGTCGAGCTGGCATTCACCGGTTTTTATTCTCACTGTAGAATGCCCTTGAATGCCATTTGGACGACTGCCGTCGTTCAAGCCTCATCTGACAGTGTCTCGTGACCGCCCCCAGTGTCGGCCTAAGCGTGGTAGTGGGTCTGGAGGTGGCTCTTCCGCCGTTCGCTCGCACCGGCCTCCAGCTCAACTCCACGGCGTACGCGCCGTTCAGTCTGAACGTGTCGTACGCTGTCATGAACAGGACGGTGCGGCTGACGGCGCCAAAACCGGATAGGAAGCGCACGCTGCTGCTGCTCAGGTCGGTCGCCGTGGGCTCGTGAGTCCCCATCCCCGTCTTCATAACGGTGTCTGGGCTTCGGACTGTCGGTCGCCGCCGAGGTTGTCGGGTTGAGCTCTCAGGAGACGGCCTCGTCGGCAACCGAAGTTACAGCGCGGCTGTCACGTCCAGCAGGCAGGGCAGGGCAGGCAGATGACTGGCGCACAGAGCGGGTCTGCGCCGTGCCCGGCGCGGCACACGCGCGCGCCCCGCTGTGTACCGGTGCCGTGTCCGGCGTGAGTCGACGGACGTGAAGGTGCGCTGTGGCGGCGGCCGGCGCTGGCCGTGCTCTGCTGTGGTGAGACGACAGGATGGTCGGCTGCGTCTGCGGCCGTGTGGTGACGTTCCGGCGCTGTTGCAGCCACGGCGCGCAGCTGCGGCAGGGAGAGGCGCTGCGCCCGTCGCCGGCGGCCGACGCGCGCGCCGTCCACTGCCTGCCGCAGGCTGTGTACACGGGCCTGTCGGTGTGTCGTGAGCTGCGCACGGCCGGCCGGCTGGGCCTCACCGCCCCGGTCATCTATCACGTCACGGCCGAGAACACCGAGCAGCAGTGAGTACACGGCGGCCCGCGCTGCAGGACGGCAGCCGGACGAACCTGGGACGAATCAGGTGGCCGCGGACTCACAGACGGACCGACTGACCGACATACCGGCCAACGGACCGGCCTGCCAACACTGGAATATTCGAACCACCGATCGACGCAGCCACCGACTGAGCGGACAGATCAAAAACGCGTGGCTCGGACAGCCGCCTGGCCGGTGACGTGAACAGGCGGACGGATGACCAGCTGGCTGACTGAACAACCAGCTCTCCGGTTCTCCGGGCGCTGCTCAAGCTGCAGCCGATAGCCTTGGAAGTGATGCCGTCATTCGGGATGTGTCACGAGTCACGTCATATGTCACGTGCGGTATGCTGTTGTGAAAGCGGCTGGACCGGGAGCACACCAAGCCATGACCCAGCCTCGTGGCACTGCACCTCAAACCCCCCGGGGGGGAGGGGGGTGCTCCGCTCTGTTGCCACTTCCCTGGGACGGAACGCCCGGCGATGGCTGCTGACGGGCGCGCGGCGCCGGCAGCCCGTTCGACACGTACACGCTGGACGTGTGGACGACGGCGCGCGAGGACGGATACCAGCACGGCGGCCTGGCGCACGTGTACCTGCACCGGCCGGCGGCGCGCGCTGCCGACCTCCGGCTCCGGCTCGGCTTCCGACTGATGCCCATCAACTACAACCCGCTGCTGTTCCACCGCGGTCAGAAGGCCAACACCACGCTGGAGCTGGTAGTAGGAGGTAGGCGGTAGGCGGCGGTCGGGACGAGGCCGGACGGTGTCACGGTGTCCGTCAGCGGCCGAGGCCATGCGGCGTCCGGCCTGCCGGTGGCCCTCGCAGCGCGGTGGGTCTTCTGCTCCATACATCAGAGCGGGAACAGAGACCTGTGGTTATGCTGGTGTCCCGGTGTGTCGAGGACGTTTGCACGATGGTGAGTTGCAATGCTTGAGTCCGAGACTAGATGTGTATTTGTGTTCAGTGCCGAGCTCAGCCGCTCGTATCTTCCGCCGTCAGAAAAACAACACAATGCTGCCATGTATTTGTAGTGTAACAGTGTGGCAAGATGGTGTGTTGGCTCGACATGACGCTGCGCCGTCTGGCCGCGGCCGTTTTCATGCCTGTTTAATGCTGTGTGCATGACGTGGGTTCCAAGCCAGGCTTTTTGATAGGAACCACACTACCTTTATTGTTACCCTGTGCTCGGATCTCCTATTTTTGCTTTTATATTGCCCATTTTTGCTTTTATTTTTGCTTTGATATACTGCGTAGCTGTTTCCTGGCCTGTCCAATGTTTATACTCTACGTGTCTTCAGCGGCTTCCTCTGTGTTGCAGAGGAAGACAAGCCTCTGTGGTATGTGTACCTGATTCGAGCTCACACTGAGCAGGAGGACGTGTTGTTCTCGGAGTCTCGCGGCTGGTTGATGGCGCGCGGCAAGACCTTGCTCAGCGCCGAGATGACGGTGAGTGGGCGCCACCGACGGGCCGGGCGCCGGCGGCCCTCGGCTGGCAGCCCGGCCTCTGTCTGCCGGACAGCGTCACGCGGGCCGTGCCAGTGTCAGACCGCACAGCCGGCCGGGCGGACCTGACGCCCGACGCTCATTCCGTCGGCGATCTGCCGGCGATTTCCCTGCGATCTTCCGTCGTCGAGCGTTATGCCTCGGCCCGCAGATCTGAAAGTGAAGCGTCCGTCCTGTTGTCTGCTGCGCTAACGTGTGTGGTGTGCGCGTGCTGAGTGTACGGTCGATGACGCTCGTGAGACGACCGCCACCTCTGTGTGACCATGACCCCGGTGTGACCTCCCTGTGTGACCGCGACCGGTGTGTCGTGGCCAGCGCGAGCAGCTGCTGCCGTGGCTGGCCCCGACTGGCCGTCGGGACAACCTGTATATCCACCTGATGAGGACGGGCCACCACGTGCGGTACAATCGCCGGTACAGCGCGTGCAGTCGGCCCGATGGCGATGTTCAGTTCTCGGCCGACCTCTCCTACGCCACGTGAGTACCGCCCCTCCCCCCCCCCCCCCCCGCCCCCTGGGTGTCAGACTCGCTCGCCTCTGGTGTCTGCGGGCTCCGGTGTGTTGAGGCGCTGACTTCAGCTCTGCCCGCCGGGTGCGGTGGGTCCGTGTTGCCGCCGGGCTCCGGTGTGTTGAGGCACTTACTACAGCTCTGCCCGCCGGGTGCAGTGGGTCTGTGTTGCCGCCGGGCTCCGGTGTGTTGAGGCGCTGACTGCAGCTCTGCCCGCCGGGTGCAGTGGGTCTGTGTTGCCGCCGGGCTCCGGTGTGCTGAGGCGCTGACTGCAGCTCTGCCCGCCGGGTGCAGGGGGTCGCCGCCGGGCTCCGGTGTGTTGAGGCGCTGACTGCAGCTCTGCCCGCCGGGTGCAGGGGGTCGCCGCCGGGCTCCGGTGTGTTGAGGCGCTGACTGCAGCTCTGCCCGCCGGGTGCAGGGGGTCGCCGCCGGGCTCCGGTGTGTTGAGGCGCTGACTGCAGCTCTGCCCGCCGGGTGCAGGGAGTCGCCGCCGGGCTCCGGTGTGTTGAGGCGCTGACTGCAGCTCTGCCCGCCGGGTGCAGGGGGTCGCCGCCGGGCTCCGGTGTGTTGAGGCGCTGACTGCAGCTCTGCCCGCCGGGTGCAGGGAGTCGCCGCCGGGCTCCGGTGTGTTGAGGCGCTGACTGCAGCTCTGCCCGCCGGGTGCAGGGGGTCGCCGCCGGGCTCCGGTGTGTTGAGGCGCTGACGCCATGTTTGTGTCGCCAGGGCATTCCACAGCGGCCCGCTGCTACGGCTGCTGCCTCCGCAGTTCTACGACGCCGACAAGCAGACGGCCTGGCTGCGGCTGAACCTCAGCCGACAGGTGACGGCCAACGACGAGGTAAGCTGGCCGGCACCGGGCGCCGACCAGCCGGCGTCGGCGGCACAGGCTGCGGCACTGAGGCACCTCACGTTGGATGCGCTCACCGGAGACGATTAGTATAGCGCGTGCCAGATTTCCATAAACTTAAGCCTTGGAGAACACCGAAACGAGAGGAGTACTTTCCCAAGTGTGGCCAAATTAATTCACGGAAGCCTGCTTTGGACGGATGCTGCAAGATAAACTAGCATGGAGCTAATCGCAGTGTTCTCGCGTATGAAGTGGGATTGGCACTGTCCCAACTCCTCGGGCATCCGAATTGCCACATGTGCAGCTGTGGATGCCGTCAGCGGCGCGCCTGCGGTGTGGCCAGCCGGCTCCAGCGCGGCGGCGTGCAGGGGCCGACTGACCCGCCTACGGGCCTGCCGCAGCTGACCGAGGTCAACTGGAGCCACACGGCCAGCGCAGCCACGGTCGGGGTCACACTAGCCGGCCTGCTCAACTGGACAGCGACGGCCGACAGCAGCGCACGGCTGGTGGCCAACCTGAGCTCGCTGGAGACGCGTACCGGCCGCACGCTCATGTACACGGCCGCCAGCGGACGCTACGACCGCCAGATCGAGGTAAGCGCGCGCCATGGGTGACGGGGGGCGGCGGCCGACACATCTGGGCGGGATCTGGCAGCGGTGCACGGGACTCCCTTCAACATTGGCTGTGTTGTTGACGAATTACGCTGATGATGGCCGTGAATGTACTTGCTCGTTATGCTGTATATATTCTCATGATGTCACACTATTGGTCGCTAACGACTAGCTTCCGTCGGAAATATCACTTGTGAGGCTAGGGGAGTAAATTGGCAAAGTACGGATTGCAGCGTGGTACGGAATAAGGACCGTTGACCGTATCGATGTCTGCGTTAGGCTCGTCGGCCGGTCGGCTTGCTCCATCCCGCGCCGTCGTGTCTCGGCAGGGAGGCGTCGTGACTGATGGGCTACAGGCGGCGCTGAGCTACCCGGGCACCCAGTACGAGGGCCGGCTGCGACTGGACCGGCAGCCGGCCGGCCAGCTGACGGCCAACGCCAGCCTGGAGCGCCGCGCCGGCTGGCAGAGCCGGCTGACGGCTGCGCTGGAGCCGACGCAGCCGGCGCCCGGCCGCCGCCTCACCGCCACCCTCTACCTCCCCGGCGACGAGCTGCGGCTGCGCAGCGAGTTCAGCGCGACGCCGCGGCCCCGGCCCTGGCGCAGCTGGTACAGGTGCGCCCTCTGCTTCCGCTGCTAGGCGCTGGAGGCCGGCGCCGTGCGCGTGGTTACGGGGAGGGGACGCGATTGCCGGACACCGCGGGATGGGCACTGTCCTGTGTCATGAGCCGTCAGCTTGGAGCCACCATGATATGGCAGAGAGGCGCCACTCACCGTGGACCTGTGAAGACCGGCCGGAGTGTGGGGCCGGTGGGCCGTGCTCTGTTCTCTCTGGCGCTCTGCCGGCCGCCACGGCTCCGCCCTGCCACGCTGCGGCCTCCGGCAGGGACGACTACTCGTTCAACCAGAGCTCGCGGCTGTGGTGGTCGCGGCACGACCTGGAGCTGAGTTCTCGCCTGGAGGCGGACAACAGCGCCTCCGCGCTGCAGGTGTACGCCGACCTGGCGCTCAACCGGCCGGCTGTGAGCGCGGCCGCCCGGCTTGACTGGGACCGGCGCCGGCGGCTCTGGAGCTCGGACGTCTCGCTGGCGTCGCCGGCACTCCGCTTCAACAGCACCGCCACGTCCAGCGGTGAGTGGAGCCGCGGCGGCGGATGGCGCGCCATTGTAGCCGAAGCGTGAAGCGCCAGCCTCTATCAGCTCTGCTTCTTGCCGTTTGTAGGTTTGCGTTGCACTGAACGCAGCGTGTTGATAGGGTTTGGAGTTTCGTGTGTCACTGTTAGAGTCGTTCGGAGCTGGAATGCCGCGTGTTCGGTATGACTGGCGTCGGTGAGCCAGCTCCAGGTGAGGTGTGGAGACCGCTCACGACAGGACAGTTGGCTGAGCCTGGTCCCTCGGCCCCGAGCCGTGAGCCGTGGTCCCTCGGTCCGGAGCCGTGAGCCGTGGTCCCTCGGTCCGGAGCCGGCCGTGACGGCCCGCTCGCCTGCCGCAGAGGTCGGCTTAGCCGGCATGGAGCGCACCATCACACAGAGCTCGGCGTCGCCTGTCTGGGACCTGCTCGACCACCAGCTGCAAGGTAAGGCTCGACTGGGCCGCCGCTCCCAGGGATCACGCCAAGCCGCCCCTGCGGCTGCGCGCCAAGGTAAGGCTCGACTGGGTCGCCGCTCCCAGGGATCACACCAGGCCGCCCCTGCGGCCTCGCGCCAAGGTGCTAGGGCGCCGCACCTGTCGGCTGCGGTGTTGGGGGAATTCCACAACGCGATTGATGGGCCGTTTGTCGCGTTGGCGTGTGTGAGGCGTGGCTGCTGTGCCGGCCGTGCGTGGCCTGGCCCGGTAGGGTGCCGACCGCGCCGCCGTTGTAGGCAGTCGTGTGCGAATGTGCGTGTGCGTGCGTGTGTGCGTGCTAAGTGATGCCTTGCGGTGAGCTGGCGTCAATGCGTTTGCCAGTTACGTGTCAGTTGCCCAGCGTGTCGGGTGTGAGAGTCCGCCGTGGTGTTTCCAGGTACTGTGCGCACCGACTGCCTCAACTGCTCGACTCGCCAGCGAGATCTGGACCTGAAGCTGGAGCACAAGTGGCTGCGCCTGCGTTCGTCCTCCAGCCGACAGCTGGACGACAGTGGCGCCGCCGCCGGAGGCGTGCAGAAGCTCGACATCCAGCTGGACAGCACGGTAGGCCATTGGCGCACATACTGACCGCCGATTGTTTCGCGTCTGTGTGGGCCGTAAGGTGATCGTCCCGCCATGCACCGTGACTGTGTTGCCCTGCCATGCCGTGAGATGGGTTGACCTCGTCCGGCCCCACCAGGGCAGCGCGCGGCCGGCGTGCTGTGCGCGCCTGGCGCCGCGGCGAATGTTAACAAGTGCTGCCTGCCGCCACAGGCGGACTTCCTGCCGTCGATGAGCTGCAAGCTGCGGCCGGATGGGGACCTGCACCTGGCGCTGACACTGCCTGCCCTCGGGCCGCCGCCCAAACTGGACGTCCGCTACACGCTGAAGCCGCCCAGCAGGTGGCAGAAAGTGAGCTGCCAGACACTGGCCTTGTGCGGTGAAACGACTATCCGGTTTTGGAGCTAGTCCGCTTATTTTCCAGCGCTCGTCTGTCAGCCTGTCCGCGATTCTTTAGCCAGGTGCACAGCACAGACAATTGCACGGGCTGTGTTGAAGTTAGCTCCTTACGTCGGATCCAACCTACGTGGCGGTACACGACATACAGCTACGCTCGTCCTATACTGGGATCTCTCACAGCACGCGCAGAAGCGGGCGTGTTTCGGAGTTATTTTGGTGTCATGACTTTTTGGCATGCTGTATTGTATGCGCCGGATGGCATCGACTACGTCCCGATTGTGCGGAACGACGCTGCCTGGGTAATGGGTCCGAGTGGCTCCTGGGTGTTGAAGAGCTTGCAATGTAAACACAGATGGACCTGGGGTCATGTGTCTCGCTGTCCTGATGAGCCTTGAGGTCAACAGGAGTGTAATTTGATAGGAATCGTTCCAAATTCGCAAGAGGTAGGAGAAAATGTGACGCCTCCATCCTCCTTCCGTTGTGCGAAGGTAGCCACGCGTCTCTCAGCTGAGGTCACCGCCATACCGTTCAGACGGTAGTGAATACTGCTCGTTGGCGGCAGCGTCACCAGCGCCGACGGTCTCGCTTTTTTGCGTAACGAAGCGAGCGAACCTCTTCTTTGGTCTCGTTGCCGGTTGCGTTATTTGGTTTTGCTATACTTTGGATGGGCTTGGTTTTTATGAATATTTTGGGTACATTGACCATGGCCAAATGCGGTGATACATGTGCCAGTTACACGTCAACACGCGCGCCGAGCGCGGCGTCGGCGTCTGTCTGGCCGTCTTCTCGTGCCTGCCGGGTGACGGCCGGATCTGACGGCTGCAGGTGTTTGTGCGCGCCCTGGAGGTGGACATCAGCGACGGCCGGCGCGGCCGACCGGTGCCGGCGCTCCGGCTCTCCCTAGAAACCACGCCCGCAGACCCGTCTCGGCTCAGCGCCGAGCTGGAGGCGCAGCCGTCGCTCTGGTTGGCGGCCGGCTCGGCGCTCGTGCAACGTCTGCGGGCGACGGTGGGCGAGGCGCGGCGCGCCCTGCTCCGGCCCGACTACGGCCTCAACGTGCTGCTGCGTCCGCTCACCGGCACTGACACGCTCGCCGACTGGCTATACACGCTGCCCGCCAAGGTGCCAACGCTACGGAGCCGACGACTCGGTGCAGCACGGGCCTTCGTTTCGCTGTTGTGGATGTGTATTTGTCAGGGCTGAAGTACGGGACGTAATTCGGCGACGGACTTAATTGCTTGGTCTCCATTCTACGATTGCTTGGAATCTTTATCTCGACACCATTGTGGAGCACACCATGGAAAAAGACGCCACTCACCAGCCAAAGTCACATCACCATTCTGTGTGAAAGCTGACACGACTAGGGTCTAGCTCAACCGGGTGCCGTGATGTGCAATCTCACTGAGGTGAACGCACGTAGTATTTCGGCCCCGACTCACGACATTGCATGTCTGACCTGGTGTATGCCACTGATCTGGGCTTCGGCCTCCAGACCCACTGTAGTTCATCAGACCGGCGATGCCATCGGTCGCCTTCAGCAACGGTCTTGCTCCTCAGCTGGCGGCGGCCGGCACTTGGCTGCGCGGCCGCGTGGCGGCGCTGCTGTCGCCCTGGCGCTCGGTCACCGGGCCGCTGTACGAGACGGCGCGGCGGGTGGCGTCGGCCATCGGCGGCTTCCTGCGGCCGGTCACGGCCGGACTCCGCCAGCGCGCCAGCGGTATGTTTGTCGGCCGAGCGGCGCCGACCGTCGGCAGCTTCTCAGCCGTGTGCTCTCACCCCACGCACCTCACGCTGGCTGGCTCGCCCTCACGCTGACCGCTGGCGGCACGCGGCCCCGCCCGGCTCTGTGCGCCGCCGGCCGGCTGATCGCTGTATCGACCCCCCCAGCCGACAGGACGGGCGCCGCCGAGCCCACGCCGACCGTGGCGCCCGGCCACCTTCCACCGGCAGCGGCTGCCGCCGGCTCCAGCAGACATGCTTAGCTCGCTGCCTCTCAGTCCGTCCTCCCACCCCCGCCTACTCCCGCCTCCACGCCGACCGTAGCGCCCGGCCACCTTCCACCGGCAGCGGCTGCCGCCGGCTCCAGCAGACGTGCTTAGCTCGCTGCCTCTCTCAGTCCGTCCTCCCACCCCCGCCCGCTCCCGCTTCCACGCCGACCGTGGCGCCCGGCCACCTTCCACCGGCAGCGGCTGCCACCGGCTCCAGCAGACGTGCTTAGCTCGCTGCGTCTCAGTCCGTCCTCCCACCCCCGCCCACTCCCGCCTCCACGCCGACCATGGCGCCCGGCCACCTTCCACCGGCATCGGCTGCCTCCGGCTCCGGCAGATGTGCTTAGCTCGCTGCCTCTCTCAGTCCCTCCTCCCACCCCCGCCCACTCCCGCCTCCACGCCGTTAGCGTCGCGGCCCCGCTGCCCCTCGCTCTTTCCTGTGGCCAGCTATCGATCGAGTCCCTCATCCCAGCCACTCTGTCCATATTCCCCTTTTATTGGTCGTTTCAGGACCTTCTTTGGTGTCGGTGTCCTCACGTGCAGTTTTGCTCTCCTTCACTCTTTTCTCCACTTCTGTCTCACCATCCATTTTCTCTTCGTCCCTCGCTTTGTCTCTCACGGTATCTGCATCACTGCCTATATATTGGTGTGCGGTGTTTTGCTCTGCTATGCTCCCTCCGGCTGGCATACCCAGGCTCTTCCACAAACCACTCACCATTCGCTGACCCGCCACCCACCTGGCTTTACAGAGGCTTACAGGAAGGGAGCCGACGAAATGGCGCGTGGGCCCAGCCTGAAAGGTGCGTGCACACCTCTCGTCACACCGCGGAAGGCAGATCTGATCTAGAGACTGTCTGGCTGATGTCAAGAACTGGACATTGAGGCCGAGCTGCATCGGCAACAGCTTGTCAAAACGCCTAATCCTCCAGTCGACTTCCAGTGGACCTAGTCTTTTTTATAGACGCGCACATGCCATGCCGTCATCAATGAATGCTGTAAAGCGATTACGTTGTATTACTAATGAGGTGTTGCTCGACTTCAGACCGCCCCGCATTCGTACTGCTTCTGCAGCAGTCTCAGATAGAGAAGGAACGTCATTGTTCTGTGAACTCTCAGAAAGAGAAGGAACGCCATTGTTCTGTCAACTCTCAGATAGAGGAGGAACGCCATTGTTCTGTCAACTCTCAGATAGAGGAGGAACGCCATTGTTCTGTCAACTTTTGAGGATCAGCCTTTTGCAGTTTGGTGGCCTGCTTTTCCGGCTCACGTGCCACCCAAAAATAGAATGTTGGAAGCTACTTCGATTTGTTTGCAGACCGTACAGTTGCCAGACATGTGACGTGTCGGTTCAGTGTAGCGTGTCTGTAATGAATACCGCCTACCCTCAAAGCGGTTAAATTCACAGTTTGTCCTCCGCACCTACAGAAAGGACCAGGTACGACTCTTCATTCACCCTTCCCTCCAGCGTACAGAAATAGGACGAAATGTTTCTGGGGACTACTTTCCGCACCCACGTACTCTTCTCACTGCATCGCACCTCATGGCGCAATAAGCAGCCACTGCATGGCTGTGCTTTCCAGCTGAATGATGGCTTTCCTTGTGCGCATCGCCCGTAGCCAGACTTATGAATGGTTTCTTCTTGTCTTTTGAGTTTAAGACGGGATTGATGGCAAACATGCTCCCGATGTCATGATGTGTGGTGCAAAGCCGTAAATGAAGATTTTGAGAGGCAGACTTCCATCAAGGCAGACAAAAAAAAAGCAGCGACCGCACCACACCAATAACCAGCCGCCACAATTTGAGGATCTTTTGACTCGAAATGAGCTGCGGGCCTGTCCAGTGTGTTCCGTGCCAGCGCTCACGAGGGCTGCACTGCAGCGGTGTTGCTCGCAACGCGCGGGTAACTGGCGCGCGCGTCACGACCGTGCTGTGACGGGCGCGGCCCGCCGGCAGAACGTGCGCTGGGCCTGCTGCCGCCGGAGGTCATGGGTCAGCTGATGCAGCGGCTCAATCAGATGATAGCCAGCGGCCTGCAGCGGCTGCCGTTCCAGGTGCAGCGCACCACGCGCGGTAACCGCACGCGCATCGAGCTCACCGAGCTGCCCGACTACGCCAACGTGGAGGTGAGCCGACGGCGGCGCCCTAGCGTGCCGCGCTGGCGGCTTCGGAGAACTGATGCAGCGGTGCCAACTGATGCAGTGGTGCCGACTGATGCAGTGGTGCCGACTTCGTGTCCTGTTTCAGGTGGCGTGGGGTTTGTTCCGCGCCATAGCCTGATTGTTAAGCGTGTCGTTTTTCGTATACCGTTACCGAAGAGCAGGCAACGGTATGCAAAAGTCGCGGCACTCCCAGCTAGGAAGAGGAAACAAACGTAAAAAAGCAGGCGAGGAAGTGGTGCAGACCCGGCCGTAGTCGTGTTACGCAATGGTTCATGTGTTGTGTTGCTTATGTGTCGAATCCCAGGGTGCCCGTTCAGCCCGTTTTAGTCTTTCTTTACGTGAATGTGTGTCTTGTGTGGCCTTGCCTGTGTACTGGTTGCGCCCCTGCTGTAGCCAGCGTGTGTGCTGTCTCGGCCTGGCTGCGCCCCGACGCTGACACTTGTGGCGTGTTTCAGACTGTGTGGAACCTGAGCGCCCTGGTGCGGGCCCGGCTGCGGCAGCCGTCGGTGCTGAGCGAGCTGATGGCTCGGCCCGATGACCGCCGCCCGCTGGCTGCCCTCTGGCGCGACGGACGCGTGCTCGCGCTGGACGGCCGCTCGTTCGTGCTGCCCGGTGCGTAGTGGGCCGGCCGTTCACGGGCACTGGCGGACGGCCCTGTGCGCTGGCGGTGCTCAGGCCGCTCGTTCGTGCTGCCTAGTGCGTAGTGGGCCGGCCGTTCACGGGCACTGGCGGACGGCCCTGTGCGCTGGCGGTGCTCAGGCCGCTCGTTCGTGCTGCCCGGTGCGTAGTGGGCCGGCCGTTCACGGGCACTGGCGGACGGCCCTGTGCGCTGGCGGTGCTCAGGCCGCTCGCCGGTCGGCGCCGAGTCGCTGGCTCGGTTCTCAGGCCCGTGGTTGACGCGTGTTTGTCATCGCACCGACTCACTCTCGCTGGTCGCCAGTGGAGTCTCTTACAACACTGTGTATTTGGTGGTATCATATTTCACCAGTTGAGGTGTTTTACCAAGCTATTATGTTGCTGTTTTTGAGGTGTCTCAGTCGTTTTGAGCCGTTTTGAAGATAGCAGGCGTTGCTGGTAGGGGCTGGTGTGCGCTCCACGCTTCAGATCGTCACCAGATGCTGTACTGCCCGACTGTCGTGCTCGTGTGACGGCGCCGTTGTCTGCGCGCTCTGGACGGCCGGCGTGCCCGGTGCGCTCCCGCGTGACGTTCGGTGTGTTCCGCGGGCAGCTGTGGACGGCTGCGTCCACTTGCTGCTGGCCGACGTGGAGCAGCGAGGCTTCTCTGTCCTCCGATCGGCCCGCCATCTGGTGATGACTTTTCCAGACTGCAACGTTGTAGTCAACGAGGGAGGACACGCCCACGTGGAATGGTTCAACGCGTCCCTTCCAAAACACTTGTGAGTTTTCCAAATTGTTGTAGTGAGCAATTCACATATATATATATATATATATATATATATATATATATATATAATCTGCCACGTATGTGTGTACTGTGGTATGAGATGCCGTCCGTGAAGCACGATACCACCAAGCGGGCAGCGCATGGTCGCAAAGCGCGCGTTATGACTCGGTAGTGAGCTGGGCCTGCGCTGACCGGTGTGCGCGCGCCCGCAGGCGGACTGAGGTGCGGCTGGACGGTGGCCGGCTGCTGGCGCGCTCGTCGTTCGGCCTGCAGGCCGACCTGGAGCCGGGCTGCGGCGCCGTGCTGCTCAGGCTGGACCCGTGGATGGCGTCGCGCACCGCCGGCCTGCTGGCCGCCTCCGGTGAGCGGCGGCCTGGCCCGGCTGTCGGCCCCACCAGCCGGCGCCGACGGAGCCGTGGCCGTCGGCGCCGGCCGACTACGGATACAGTGAAGTCCGCCCCATGTGCCATGTGGATGTTGTAGGACGCATATGGTACATGTTCGATTTGCCCGTGTGTGCAAATCCCGACTTCGGTGTCATCGCGTTCGGGGTTGTCTGTTGGTTATGATCGGCGGTCTGCGCTCTGCACGTGGTCCTCGCTGCGGGACGCCCCCGTCGCCGACTGCTTGAGATGAGATGATTTGGCTGGCGACCCCATCGCCCCGTGGCCGGCGCTTTGTTGACACCAGCCGTGCTCGGCCTCCGTCAGACAACCGGGACGGCTGGCAGCTGTCGGCGGCGTGGCGCCGCTTCGGCCTGGAGCCTGAGGAGAGCTGTCCGACGCCGGACCAGCCGGCCGGCCCGACGCTCCACTTCGACTCGTGCGGCTCCATCCAGACGGCCGAGTGTGTGCGGCTGACCGGGCTGGAGCGGGCCGCCCGCCAGCACCGGCCGCCCTGCGGTGAGAGCCGTGCCGACGGCCGTGTGACGGTGCCAGAGCCGGCGCCTGTCGGCCGAGCAGGTGGCCCAGAGGCGTCGTTGACGCGGCTCCTGTTGCCAATTCAGTTAGACTGGGGTTTGTCTGGTAGTCTGTGTTACCGTGACATACCTGTGGCGGGCGGATGTCGCCTGTTCCTGTCCCAATTCATTTGCTATATATCTGTTCGCCCGGTGACCGCGTACCTGTTTGCCATCTACTGTTCTTGCGCGGTAGCGTTTACACGCTTGGTCACGTAAGACAGCGGGACGTCCCGCCCAGTGCCGGTGACTGACGCGCGCCGCCTCCGCAGTCGCGCCCGAGCCGGTGCCGTGGCGGCTGAGCCAGTCGGGCCCAGAGGCCGACAGCCCGCCGGTGCGGGTGCTGCTGGCCGTGGCCGACCCGACGGTGGACGCCGACGCCGTACGCCGACTGGCCGAGGTGCTGCAGCGCCAGCTGACCGAGCTGGGCCAGCGCGCCGTCCAGTTCGCGCTGGTGGCCGACGGACGGGCTGACGCACGGTGAGAGACGGGCTGACGCACGGTGAGGGACGGGCTGACGCACGGTGAGAGACGGGCTGACGCACAGTGAGAGACGGGCTGAAACACGGTGGGGGACGGGCTGACGCACGGTGAGAGACGAGCTGACGCGCGGTGAGAGACGGGCTGACGCACGGTGAGAAACGGGCTGACACACGGTGAGAGACGGGCTGACGCACGGTGAGGGACGGGACGCGGCTGACCGCCCGCACCGGCGCCGGGGTGGGTCGTGTTCGCCGCTGTGTACCGCAGCCCGGCCAGGTGCCGGCCAGCTGGTGGGATAGCAGCTGAAGCGAGTGCTTAGCTGTGAGCACGGTTCACGGTACATCCATCCGGGACAGGCTGATTGAGTCATTTGCTCCTGGCGCCGGCTGTCCCAGTGGGTGCTGCTCTTTTTCACCGATAGTAGCTATGCTTCCAGTGATGATGCGTGGACATGCGTCCATCCTCCGCCGTCGTACGTGACTGGTCTGGAGTCGTGTCAGGATGCCCCATTGAACTTCCGTCTCCCTGCGTCGCCGGTGTGTACACGCCAGATAGTCGACCTCGGCTCTTGTGACCGCAGGCCGGTGTGGGTGGACTCCCCGGCGGCGCTGCAGCTGGAGGGCAGCAAACTGCCGTCAGCAGACCTGGTGCGCAGCCTGCAACGGGCCATGAGCGGCCACCCGTTCCCGCCGGAGGTGGCGTACCGCATCCTCGTCGTCTTCGCGCCCTCTGACCAGGTCCGGACCGCGAGCCTGTGCTGCGCGCGCCGACGCCCCAGGATCATTGGAGGCTGAGCGAAGAGCAGATGCCCGGCGCAGTCGGCGTGATCGCGGGAGGAAGGCTGTCTTCGTTTGATGCGGTGCCAGATTTGGCGAGAGTCCCTTTCGGATTTGTTCCTGTTTTTTAACAGGAAGTGTCGCATTGCCGCGTATGCGGGTGGCGCATCTCATTGGCTAATGTATAGGTCGGCCGGCCTCACTTGACGCGTGGGTTGACCGCCGCCAGGAACAGGCGGCTCTTGTGTGCCGGAGGCGTTGTGTGTCTGCTGCCTGGGCTGGTGTCCGACCGGCGGCTGCCTCTGTCTACTGTTGTTCTGTCTGCTGTTGTCTGGCTGCTGTTCGTCAGCTGAGGACGCTCTCGGCCGCGGCAGGTGCGTGGAGGCGCCTCGCTGACCGGACTGCGGCGTCAGCTGTGGCGCCGCCGCGTCACCGTACACCTGGTGACGCCCCTGACGCGCTACCCGCTGCTGGACGCGCCCCTGCATGGCGTGACCAGCCACGGCCGCGGCCTGACCGCCAACATGAGCCGCCAACTCAGCCTGCCCCGACACCAGGTGAGGCGGACCCGCCCCCCCCCCCCCCCCCCCCTGTGCTGCACTGTGGTGTGCGCGCCGTGGCATCGGGGTCGGTTCGGCCTCTGCGCGGTCTGTCGGGTGGGGGCGGACGATTACTCTGCGCCCGCTGCTGTGCTGGTTGGTGTCGCTGAGGACTGGCAGGCTGTGCTGGTTGGTGTCGCTGAGGGCGGGGCAGGCTGTGCTGGTTGGTGTCGCTGAGGGCGGGGCAGGCTGTACTGGCTGGTGTCGCTGAGGGCGGGGCAGGCTGTGCTGGTTGGTGTCGCTGAGGACGGGCAGGCTGTGCTGGTTGGTGTCGCTGAGGGCGGGGCAGGCTGTGCTGGTTGGTGTCGCTGAGGGCGGGGCAGGCTGTACTGGCTGGTGTCGCTGAGGGCGGGGCAGGCTGTGCTGGTTGGTGTCGCTGAGGACGGGCAGGCTGTGCTGGTTGGTGTCGCTGAGGGCGGGGCAGGCTGTGCTGGTTGGTGTCGCTGAGGCCGGGGCAGGCTGTGCTGGTTGGTGTCGCTGAGGCCGGGGCACGCTGTGCTGGTTGGTGTCGCTGAGGACGGGGCAGGCTGTACTGGTTGGTGTCGCTGAGGACGGGGCAGACTGTGCTGGTTGGTGTCGCTGAGGACGGGGCAGGCTGAGGCCTACCCCGTCCGCCTGCCTGCCTGCCGACCGGCCCCACTGATGCCGGTCGGCAGGCAGTGCGCTGTAACGCGGCTTTCCGCGTCGATGAATGCCTGCCGACCCACGCGACGTGCGTTATCCGTGCGGCGGGCCAACGCTGAGCGTGTCGGGCGATGTTGCCGCCGCATTGCTGTGTGCACTGTGTGCCCGGTGCGCGTGCGCTGCCGCTGATGCCCCTCCTTCGGCGCCAGGGTGACCTGGGTCAGCTGGTAGTGGACTCGGCGGGCGCAGTCTGGGACTCGGCCCTGCTGGTCCAGCCGGCCGGCGTCACGTCAGCGCTGCTGGCCGACGCCGTCTGGCAGCAGGTCGCCAAAGCGGTCAGTGGACAACGCCGCCCAGCAGAATGCTACATCACTCGCCTCACCTCATTGCAACAGCCATCAAATAATGGGCACACGAGCGCGTTATGATGGCTTTGGCAGGCAACCGATATTTGATTGTTGTGATGTTGATAGTATAATGTGACGCTTCTGTCTCCAGCTGTCATGGGCCTTCTGTGATGATGTGTTTGTTTTGTTTGGTGGGGGGGGGGGGGGGGGGGGAGGGGTGGAGGTCTATCTTGACCTCGCGTGTCCCCATCGACTTTGTCTGAGCTGTCGTTCCGGTGGTCCTCGCCCCAACAGACGGGGTTCACCGATGGATGCCCCCGCTTGTGACCCCCACGGTCGCCGTGTCTGTAACGAGGCGTGCCTCGTGCGGCCGCCGCGCCGCTGACCGGCCGTCCGGCGCGCTGCTCTCGCCAGGAGCCGGGCCCGCCACTGCCGGAGCCGGCCGTGCTGGCGGGCGGCCAGGAGGCGCGGACGGCGCCGCCGCCGGGCGCTGCGGCTCGCGTGCCGGCCGCCCCCTGGCCGGCGCTGCTGCTGCTCTGTCTGCTGCCGCGGCGCCTGCCGTGATCTCACAACGCTGCCGCAGTCGCCGCAGCCGCACGTCTTCTCTTCAGTCTCGTCGTCCTCCTCCAGCAACGCCAGTCGGTCCCCGGAGGACGTACGCCGTGTCCTCCGGGGACCGACTGGCGTTATTGCATCCACTAGTCGATCGCCGACTCGTCGGCCTCCGGACCCTGCTACTGACGGCACCGTAGGGTCTCCACGAAGCCGGTAGGGTATTATATTGGTGATTGTGTTACCTCGGGTCCAGTCGTGTTAGGCATATGACATACGGCAATGTTCAGCCGGGCTGTGTTCTGTTGCGGAAGCCTGAGACACGCTGTGCGCTACAAGTTCCACGTCCACGTGAAAGTTGGTTTGCCGCGTTTGCTGTTGGAATGGCCTTGCCGTGTAAGAGCAGTATTCCAGCTGGGAATTGCGGACCGGATGACCCATAGACGAGGCGCGTCGGAGCGCGGCCAGAGGCCGGCGTCGGATACAGAACCTGTGTTGGCCCTTGCGCCGGCATGAACTCCTCTCGACTGGGCTGTGTTGCGGTATTGCGACCGCGCCTTGGTCTCACGGACCCGATGAACGGCTTCCGGTGTGGAGTCGATAGTCCAGGAAGGAAGTCATTGGTCGTAGGTTCACCAACCAACCGCTAGCTCCTATCAGCCAAGCAAACCGTAGCCAAAGAGTGTAGACGTGCCGGGCGCCGAAAATTCTGAACTTGTTTGAGTGGATGACTCTGCCTAGGGCTGGCCGGAGTCCGGTCCTCAGTATGGGTGCGGATGTACGTGGCGGATGGCTGCCGTGGTTCGCAATGTCCGTCTTTGAGTGACTGCGAGCAAGGACGGTGTTCTGCTGGCCCGCGTGAGAGGGGTGGACGCGCCTGCTGGAGCCAGACACAGAGTATATCGCAGTATTCGTTGTATTCGGGGCACGTAACCGAGGGGCTCAGTCAAAATGTAGTGGCAAGGTTCTGCTGAAACGTTTGTTAGGCTTGCGCCAGTTTTGATAAGACAACGTTTCAGATAAGTCGCAGCATTGTTATTAGATAACAGATTGTACAAACACCGCTGACAGAGACGGCAGTACGTCGCGTGCGGGCTTCAAGGTATTGGGTGCGTCTCTGAAGTGTGCGGCGTCGGCACGTTTGACTGTATTACCACTGTGGGTTTACATGGCCAGCTTTGGACGACGCTCCTAGCTTAGGCGGGACGCGGCTGCCGTTTGGTGCGAATGGCTTCGCAGTTTCTTCCGTTTGCGGTGTGTTGGCGGGCGTTCAGTTAGTCATTTGATACGAGTACAGCGGAGCGCGTGGTGGAGCTGCGAGCACACGTCCTGGCGGCGGACACCTCTGCTGACCGGTGGCGGTCGCGGTGAGGTCACAGCGCCGCCGCCGCCGGCTGGGACCTCGCCTCCTGCTCATGCCCGTCGCTTCGCCGTTTGGCCAGTCAGCGCGTGTGTATGCGCGCGGCCGCGAGAGCCGTGCGCCCGTGTGTGTAGGGGGGGGGGGGGGAGTGGAGGACCTGCTGACGGTGGGCGTGGCCGGCTGTGGCGACCGCTCAGTGCGCCCCCGTGCGGGGTCGTCTCCCGTGGCACCGGTCGCCTGCCCACCCCTGCATCGCCCCAGTCGGCAGCCGTCTGACGCGCCGCCGGTGGCTGGGGTCCTCCGCTCGGCCCTGCTAACCGGGCGGGGCCGCCGCGTGACGGACGGCTGTCCCAGTGCCGTGTGTGCCGTCGCCTGGTAGATAATACACGTGCTCGGTGGACTCGTGTGTCATCGGCTGAGTTTTGCGAACACTGATGGAGTGGTTCTTGGGGCACATGAAAGTGACTCCCAAGCAGGACAGATGCACCGATTACCTGGAGCCGCCATGTATGATCCTGGAATTACGGGCACCACGCATTTGATCGCGCGCGAGGGACAAACGGTCCGAGCAAATGTAGTGCGTGATTTTGTAGCTTCAGTGTTCCTCGCCGCTAAAACACGCATAAGAGCGGTCTCATTCGAACTATCCATGACTCCGACAGACCTCCCCCTGGCGTTGAACATGCCGTGTGTACTTGTTCTTGGCTCGACTGTCCAGTAGGGTGTGCCATCAGTGACAAAACCAAGTGAGAAAGAAATTCTTTGGCGCAGGAGTCGATAAGTACATGACATAGCAAAAGTTCTTCCCAAAAACTTAAATTCGTTGTTGCATCAGTTTGAGGGATTCCCTAGAAATTGTCTTCGCTAAATCCATGGCTTGATTTTGATCTGCCATAGGCCACTGACCTTACAAGGTACATCTAAATTTTTGATAACAAACGATCCGCCATTTGAAGCCTACATCTGTGCAGAACTTGACACGGCTACGCCGCGGCGTTCGGAAATCATTCCGGAAAAACCTTCGAGGGGACAAATTGGCCTCCATCCAAGAGCGCGTTAACGTATACGCTGAAGGAGACTGGCGCTAAAGAATCCGAAATCAGCCAGTGAGATAACTTAACTAACTAGTGAGAGGAATTTCCCCATCATTTGACAATGAAGTTTACTTCGAAGATTGATTTTAACATGTCAGCCCCAAGACTTTGCGACGAATTCTAATTATGCGCTGAAGATTATGACGCTTACCAATCAGAAATGGTCGTTAACCTTCGCTTACCACTCACACGCCAGGAATACTGTCAAATGTTTTGAGCAATATACCTGGTATTGTGCACACATCCAAGTCACTGATCTCTTTTGTTGTGCCCACTACGATTTTCCGCAAAAACAGTCAAATTGAAAACACGCGACTGATACCTTTCAAAAACTTGGTATAAGCTTGTAGCATAACTTGTTAAAAAAATGACGATGAGCGTTACTCTTCATAACGTCAGTAAAGTCATTAGAATCATTGGGCTATGCTGCTGGGCGCCGGTGTAATCTCTGGACGGAATCTGAACGTCAAGGGCGCCGCATGACAATGGCGGTTGAAGCGTCCCTAAACCTCAATAATTACTTATCAGCCCTTAAGCTGTCAGATCAAATTGTCATCAGGCCAATTCAATCGTGACAGGGAGATTTGAAGTCAGCTTCCCGCAGCTTTACCTTGTAGGCAACACTGGACCACTGGTGCTAGTTCTTGACGGCTTTTTGGCGTATTAAATCCACCTTATCGCTGTAATAATAACAATATTTCAGGGTGCCCTGCTGATGAGTGAGGCTACAGTTCAAGCGACTTTTACTTAAACTGAAAACATTTTCGGCACGAGAAGCCAGACTCGAGGGTCGCGCTTCGGGAAGCCAATGCCTCTGCAGCCACTGATGATAGGTCTACGCGGTTTTCAGCAACCAAAAATACAGCTATCTCAAAATTGCTCTGCATAAATTGCTAGGCGCTTGACTGCTAGCTCTCAGCTCGGCGAGTTCTTCTGCAGTTGTGCATGGTAGCCACAATGCTGCCCACTTCTTCTCACTTGGTATTAAAAGCGCTAGATTCTCGAATTGCGAAAAAGCTGAAAAAAAAACAGTGACCGAAATCGCGTCCACGACTCGGCGACACGGCAGTTCAGCGCAAAGAGCCTGACAGAGAGAAGAAAAGAAAACGGACAACCGCACCTGCGAAAGTGCGGGTGGACTTGCGCGTTTGGTCCCGTGCTCTGGAGCATAAACTATCCACTCCGCTCCTGAGACAAATTACATGTTCTGCAATGGGGGCTCTGATCTCCTGGTGCGAAATGCCCGCTTGTTTCCCAGGTAAAACTAGCCGAGACACGTCCGCGTTCTTTTTTGGTGAAAGATAGCGGCCCAGGCTAACCCCCAGGGACACCATTCTCTTCGCTATCTCAGATCGCTTCGCCGGAAGGGTAATTCATGTCATGGATTGCCACGAAATCGGATTTCGTCCTGCGCGTGATGTTCGCCCCGGCGGTGCGTCTTCACTGCGTGATAACTCATATTCCGTTTTAACGCTGTCAAAGCTTCGTGCGGGTTCTGGAGGGAGCAGCGGTGCCTTGCGGGCAATTGGGGGCTGCTCTCCGGGCTGGCGGTGGTCGGTGATGAACCTCGGCCATATTTGGTCTTTAACCTGCTGACCAGTTTCTTCTATACTGGATTTTTAAACACAGCTTTGGAAGTCCTTGTATGAAGAGGGTGATGGAAAGAGAAGATTGACATGGTTTGATATATATTTATATTATGAGGTTGCGGACAGGTTGATATATATATATATATATATATATATATATATATACTAGAGTATTTCGGAAGTATCCTTTCTCTCATACCTTGTTAGTTCTACACCACAGTATATTTCGGGTATATGGCCTTCTTGCTCATTTGTTTTATACGAGGTTTGAACATAGGTCATCAAGACTGAATATGCTGCAGTGTGCAACAAATAAACAATATATATATATATATATATATATATATATATATCTGCATATACATTTATATATTTATGTATATACATATAAATACACAGATACACTTTCATCATGGCGCGTTGGTCGCTCTTGGTTTTCGTTCCCAAAAAAACTTTCTAAATACTAGCTAAAAATGATAAACATGGCAGAGTTTAGCACGGATATAGTGACATTTATCTCACAGTGTCCGCTGCACTGCTCACCACATTTTAATTTTAAAGTTACTGAGTTGAGGTCTGGCCACAAAACATACAACGCACACAGCCGTTATAAGCGATTTGAAACAAAATATGGCGACACACTACGCATGCTTATATTCGCATGAAAGACCATTCAAATAGCAATATCATAGGAGCGAGATGCCAGATCAGTAGTCTAACTACGCAGCAAATTCTTCAGCTGGTAATCCTAACATAATGAACCTGTGTAGGTTCATACAACGCGGCTTTTAGAATGTGATTAGCCGGAATAAATCTTGCGCTACGTCATACGGAATTTTTAACAGTTTGGTTTCCAGTTCTATCATGTGTTTACATGTAACCTAAATGGGTTTTCGATACAAGCCTCTTCCGAGCAGGGAGCTAGAATCGCTTTTGAACTAGGGTGGGAGTGAAAAATTCCATCGCAAAAGGACCATGAGAGAGAGAAAAAATCAATTTACAAAAGATGGAACTTAAGAGCTCGTGACTGATGCTTCAGCAAACAAAGACGCCTATTTCAAGTTGGCATGGACGTAATATCAGAAACCTGACACAACTGTTTCGTTTTTTAACATCTTAGGCCATTAAAGTGAAACAAAATACATTAACACGCGCTCGGGTGGGGGGGGGGGGGCAAATTGCTCCCCCCCCCTCCCGAGAGCTTTTCCCGAATGGTTTTTGAACGGCGCGGCGTAGCCGCGCCAAAGTTTGGATAGCTGTAGACAGTTGCATAGCGGAGCGTTTGATATGCAAATTTTAGATGCACCATGTAAGGTCGCCGAACTATGACAGGTCAAAGTCAGTCCATGGTTTCAGCGAAGACAACTTCTAGGGAATCGTTCAATCTGATACAACAAGGGAGTATTTGACGAAGGCATACATCTCTGAGATACTTTGTTAGGCACCATAAATATTGAATGAGCAAATTACGTTGACCTAAGGTCAGGTATGAGGGTCAGACCAAGGTCAAAACCAACCTGATTTATTACCCTTAGCGCTTGCTGTATGGGATAGTTTCTGGTGCTCATTTCGAATTTATCTACAGCAGGAACCGCATTATGCATCTTCCGTTGATTTCTTGGAGGTTAGAACAGGCCATTGACCTAAGATGACCCGGGTCTAACGTTTTGTGTTAGGAACATATTGTCTAGCGTGAACTTTGTCGCTTATTCAAATGCAAAACGCAGAGCAGTCATGTATCATTTTGGTCACCATGACCTTCAAAGGGTCAAACAAGGTCAATGACCTCAAGTGGGCTTGTGACCTTTTACTTAGAGACAGTTAACTAGGTTCTGGGGGCGCTTTGGAGACCAACCTGGAATCTGACCTTGTTTGACCTTATTTAACCTGAAGGTCATGACACAGGAAGCTGAAACCTTAACCTAAGTGAGTTTACGTATAGGTCAAGACACCCTGCAAATTTGGTGTTCCTAGCTTTCTTAGTTCCCGAAAGCTCAGAGGGGGGTCAAATTGACACCCCCGCCCCCACCCGAGCGAAGGGTAGCTAGCCGGCCAACCGGGTGTGTGTTAAAGCATAGTAATTTCATGACAGTTTTACGAGCATGACAAGTTATTAACACCAATAATTTGATGCTGCACTTTTCAATTCCCTTCCACAGCACTTTTAACACAAAACAAAGCAAAGGAATTCAATAACAAAATAACAAGAAAATGCAACAAGCATAAAACACTCACACCAAAAATTCCCTGGATTCCTACACATCAGCCCATCACTAAGTCAAACACAATGTACAAACTTCTGGCTTCTGTTAAGATGGGGTCAGAGAAAACAAACATTTTGTCACTGTTTCTTACAAAATACCAATGCTTATTTCCATGAAAGTAGCCTATGCCTAACCTAAAGAGGCGTTACATCATCTCATCCTGTATAACCTGTTTGTACCACAGCAGCAGTTGTGAGTTAATGATTCTTGCACAATTCCTATTGCCACCTGCCATGCATTTGACCAACTTAACCTAACTTAGAGTAGCCCATATGATGAACATCATCTCAACTCACCTATCTGTTGACAGCAGCACTTGTGATAAAAACATAATATTTAAACCTAGTTTTTGGCTGGTTTCAACTTGCATTTGTATTCAGTTCATTTGTGTATGCTTGTTGACATCAAAGTTGACAACATACAAATCAAAACACTTTAAATCACTCTGAACAACTTATTTTGACTGTCATGGCTAACTTATGTCAAGGGCAATAATGGGCGTGCTCCACAAAACAATCTCTCTTCTCCAAGAACAACATAACTTTTAGATGATCATGCCAGTATTGCTGCTTGCCTTTTTAGCTGCAGCAAAAGAATCCATTTGGGCTTGTTTATTCATATTTAATGACAAAGTTTGAGATGCTGGCTCCACATTATAAATTGGGTGGTCTGACTATTACATACAAATATTTAACTCATAATTGCTATCCAGCTTAGAGCATCACTGCGTTAAAACTATAGTGCATATGTACAAAACAGTCATTTGCCTGTCAGCAAACCATGACAGCTATAGAAAGCACATGGTTAAAACAGCCACGAGGAACCATTTTAAGAAATGCGGGACAAATAACCAAGAATATGGAACAAAATAAGCCTATTGCATTGCTTGTGGCATAATAATTTGTCTTATGGCAAAACGCGATGCATTAAAACAGACAATTGCTAACCCTGGTTACCGATGCTGTGTTGAAAGCAGGCGACGTAAGCAATGACTTGGTCCACAGGAGACTTACTGGCTTCTTCCTGCTCCCCAAAAACGAAAATTCAGTACCTTTTGCATGATCTGCTGGCAGACAGTCATCCGACTCACCCCCAAATATAAATATCAATCATGCCCACCAACCTTTGAGTTCAAAATGCGAAACAAGTAAGAGGTGTACATGACAAACATCTCCAGAGGGCAGAATTTCACCATCAACCACTTCCGTATTAACTGCGTCAGGTCTATCCCAAGGCTCTTTATGGCAGCTTTAGAATAGCCTTGCCAGGTAGCCTGGCGGGTCAGACACTCGATAGGCTTGGATTTATCATTATTGAGCACAGCCATGAACCAAGAAAACGGTTAACCAAAGGTTTAACAGGGTAAAAATGGCGGTAAAAATGAGCTCCGTGCTTCAAATTGTATGCTTCATTCCCTGTGAATTGTTCACGCTTGGGTGCATATCAAACATGTTTGGGCGGCTGGCGATTTAATCCAATTTATGTATTAAATACGTACAAGTTTGCAGTTGGAGCATCTTGCGGAGAAATTGGTCAAAATTTTAAGCAGCAGATGGCGCCTCTAAAATCAACCGAAAAGGAGGGAGGAATAAAGTGGTATCACACTGGTATGATACCAAGAAAAACAGAAGTAGCTAAATAAATATAAAGACTGGTACTTTTCTCGCGAAATTTTGCAGTCAGCTGATTTGACTTAAAAACTGTCGATGTAAGTGTTCAAATGGTGATGTTCATATTGAAAGTTTGATTTAGAAGACATTTCTTGAGCTTTTCACTCATGCATTTCGGGAGTGATGCAATTCAGTGGTCAAGTTTCCCCGGGGAAAAAGAAGTACGTGGAGTAAAATTATCTACCAGGCCTTTCTGGTGTTTGCACCAGGCTCTGCTTTCGTGTTGTGGTGGTGAGGCCAAAAAAATACGGGATGCGTGAAAACCTTGCATTTGGCGCACAGCTGCAGACTGTGATGCATTTTGTAAACAAGCCAAACTTAATGCGTGCAAGCGGCTGGGGTCGCTGGAGTTCTTGGGCTTGGAGGTACCTGGAGCCCCTGCTCTGTGCATACATAAACGTGATTCAGATGTAGGTGAGGCAGGACATAGCCATTGTTGTCCAGGTTCTGCGGAGGCTCGTTTATGCGTGGTGGTTTCAAGTGAGCTCGATTTTGGATGACATATGAAAACCTCAGAAAGAGAAGTGGGAGTTTGGCATGTGCGATTAGACAATGTCAGGCAGGAGCGAAAAATTCACATGAAATACGGGGAAAAGGAGTGAAAAATTCCTCCTCATAGGGTGGTGCTTTACACCCAAAGTCGGCAATTCTAGGACACTGCTTCCGAGCCGCAGCTAGAGCTCGTAAAGCCAGGGGACTAAAAGCACAACACTTTTATGAGATGGCCTATAACGACGAAGGAATGCAAATGGAAGGGTTTGTTTTCTAAAAGAGATCCCGAGAGGAGGGAAAACCGTCACAATGTTGTGGAACAAAATGTACAGTTTGCCGAAACAACGCATGCATGTATTCACCCTGGTGCACATGTCGCGGTCTGTTCGCTTTTTATGAAGGTAGAGCTAGGGCAAAAAACAGCAAACTCTTATGCCATGCATGCTACGGTGACAGCGGAGTCGGGCGTTTTACCTGCACGTCACGTATATTAGGAGGGAGGGGGGGGCACTCTCACTTAGCGGCATGGAACTAGTTTAATTTATTCGGTTGTATGATGTAAAATTGGCGGTGCGTTGAAACCGACGTCGTGCTATTTGACACAAGACTTCAACGGCCTACGGTAGCAACGATTCTGTTATCTGCAATGCTCATATACTGCTGGTTTTCTAAGCCGCCAGCATCATGGACGTACTTGGCTTCCATGCTCTCACTCATGTATCCGATGATCTGCCAGCGGCGGGAGCGAGGTGTCGTCAACTGGCCTTGTGTGACGTCACGCGGTGCCTGTCTGCGGCGGGAGGCGGACCAGAGGTGACCGGCGGCGGGTGGAGCGTCGCTGCGCCGGCGCCGTCACCTCACGAGAGAGGCCCAGTCGGCCAGAGCAGCCGAGGCCGGGCGGTCGACCGATCCGTCCCACTCCCGCCCCCAGTCCAGCCCAGCAGGTTTGCAGTCGCCCGACTGACCGTCCGCACTGCCTCAGTCGGCGCGAGCTGGCCAGTGGGAGTGTTTCCTCTGAGCCTGAGCCGCGGCCAGCTGGTCAGGTGAGGCTGAGCCTGAGCCGTGGCCAGTTGGTCAGGCGACCTGAGCCTGAGCCTTGGTCAGTTGGTCACGTGAGCCTGAGCCTGAGCTTGAGCCGTGGCCGGTTGGTCAGGCGACCTGAGCCTGAGCCTTGGTCAGTTGGTCACGTGAGCCTGAGCCTGAGCCTGAGCCGTGGCCAGTTGGTCGGATGAGCCTGAGCCTGAGCTGTGGCCAGCTGGTCAGGTGAGCCTGAGCCTGAGCCTGAGCCGTGGCCAGTTGATCGCTCTTTGTCCCTCTGTCTCTCTCCCTGTCTGAGCTGGTCGTGATCGGGGGTTTGGTTTGGTTTCTGTCTGTCTGTCTCTTGGTTTGGTTTGCCCAAGTTGTGACCTGTTTATGCGTCTTCAACTACAACAGGTGGCCTGCCTTGTGCTGTCGTCTTACCTAGTCTGGGAAAGGAGGTTCTGTGCCAACCTTGAGCATGGGCCATGAATACGGGTCAGTTTGTCGTTTGTTTGCCCCGGTTCATCGATGATGGGCAGTTCGCGGTGATTTAGGCTTCAGGACGCGCCGCTGACCCTGGCCATATGGCGCCCACGTGTTTCGTTCATACATATTTAGCCATCAAACGAAAACTTATCGCTTTTGGGAACGTTGTTGCGACGGAGACGAAATGCACCAGAAAAGTTGCATGCATGAGCTTGTTGTTACACAACTGCTTGGTACACCTAGGATATACTTTGAATTCCTTGTTGTTTTTTGGTGGGTGGAGGAGGCATTCTGAGCTGGCAAATCTTACGATTACAATGATTGATGTTTCACGTACCAGGAGGCATTGGTTAAGCGACATTTTCAAAGAAGCTCCGGTACCATGGACTAATCTTAAAGCAACTTACCCAATAATGCAGACATAGCCAGCCATTTCACCATGTTAGCTGATAAATGTGGTCAAACAAGTACCTCGTGGTGCACTGAATCTAGATTTTGTGCGCAAAATCTCTCCCAACTTACATATCACTGTATGTAATGCGCAGTGGCAGAACGTATTTTGACACCTTGACATGAACGTAGTGCCCCGGAACGTTCCTCTGAACCGAATACGAAACTGCATCCCAGATCTGTCTGTATCCCTTTGCGACCGGACAAAGCTGAATGACGCATTTCCCAGCTCCAGAGGCTGCTGTTGTTGTCAATAGGATTTAAGACGTTTGCAGCTGATGAGGCGTCGCTTGCCTCTCATCCTGACAGGTTCCACTGCGCATCGAATCCCGTGCCTCCGGGTTCCCATAGGCAGCCCGCTCCAGCGGTTCAAGGTTGTCGTTTGACACTTCTCCGGTCGCCTCAGATCACGCACCGGCAAACTCGACACCACAAAATATGACTGCGCAGAACAAAAACCCGGGCGCTTTCGCCCCAGCCTGTTATTTTGCGCGAGTCCGAGATGCTGCGATACTTGCTCACAAGGCGGGACCACGTTTTGACGGCGGCGGGGCTTGTTTTCGCCAGCTGACGGGGTACAGCAGACGATCTGACAGTGGCGGGGCTTGTTTTCGCCAGCTGACGGGGTACAGCAGACGATCTGACGGCGGTGAGGCTTGCTTTCGCCAGCTGACGGGGTACAGCAGACGATCTGACAGTGGCGGGGCTTGTTTTCGCCAGCTGACGGAGTACAGCAGCCGTTCTGATGGTGGCGGGCTTGCTTTCTCCAGCTGACGGAGTACAATGGCCACTCGGCCAGCCGTCGAGTATAACAACAGGCACGGCTGTTATTGTACGGCACGGCTGTACGGGCCGGTGGTGAGCACCGGCTTCACACTTGGCTCCCCTTGCACCCAGCAACGCTTCGTCGGAAACTAACTGCATCATTTCGCCTTGTTTGTGAGGTAGGGACCGGGTGAGCTGAGAAGAGAGAGCGCCAGCGGCACATGCCAGTCAATTTTGAGTGAATATGAGCGACAACATTCCATGTTACCCACATCCATATCCAGGCAGGCTGCCATCGGCAAATCTATTGGTTTAGCTATTTTGAATTTGTTGAGAAAAGTTCAGGAACTTTCCGATTCACGGACGGTTGCTAGAAGGTGCAAAGCGAAATGCAGTGACAACAGAACCAAGCAGGGAAATGGTCTGCCTTTTAGATGATGTTCGATTTTGCGTCATGTGCATGGCGCCTAAGTAGACCTTCCAGACCTTAATCATATGTATCACTGTCCAGCGCCATAACCCCATTCATGAGAACGGCCTATCGTGTTGCATCTTAGAAGGGGTTCTTGTCACATCACAGATGTTACAGAGATTGGGGAACCAGAAAGGGGTCCTTTGTCTTTCCCAAAACGAACGAAAAATTGTTGCTCTAAACAGCAATCTTTTGAACCCAACAAAGCTGGAGAAAATGAAATATTGTCACTTAACGCTTTGTCATCCGTCGTGGCGCTTTGGACTCAAGGACTTTGAACGGGTGATCACTAGAGACCACTCTCTTTTCGTATAAAGCCCATGGTAAGGTCAAAACTTTGCAGACCTGTTCTAGCATGACGACAAAACTCATGGCAACAAGAAAGGTACCAAAACCATCAAGAGAGCATTGTGTTGCATTGTACTGCAATTTATCATGCCATTCCTCGTTATTGGGTTATTCTTAGATCTCTGTCAGCAGCCATATCGACACAACGCAAGGCAACAGCGCGCGGTCATAACGCGTTTATCATAAACATGACACAAAAAACAACAGTTTTGCGTACAAGCGGTTAAAACGTCGGGTACTTTGATTAATATCATGGAGACAAGTCCTTAAAGTAGAGAAAGACAAGATTGCAATGTCATCGCTGATGACACCTTCTTTGTTGTACATGAGCGCAGCTCAGTAGGCATACGCTCGCTTTCCGTGGCTGTTCTTGGGGTGTGAAAGAGACAAATGACTAGGGTACCGCGTACTGCGCTCGGCGTTTTTTTCGTTATAGGAGAGCTCAGAACGTGAAGAAGTCTCTGTCTCGTCGTCGGTCAATATTTTTGTAAAAGGCATATACCAAAGAAGTCACTACATGTCTTGGCATTAACGCGCGCCCTGGTGGCCGGCTGGATACCCTTCGCTCGGGTGGAGGTCAGTTTGATCCCCCCTGAGATCTCGGGAACTAAGAAAGTTGGAAGCACCAGATTTACATGGTGTGTTGACCTGTACGTGATCTCACTTAGGTCAAAGCGTCAGGTTCCTAAGTCATAGCCTTCGGGTCAAATAGTTTCAAACAAGGTCAAACTTCAGGTTGGTCTTTAAAGTGTCCCCAGAACCTAGATAACCGTTTCTAAACGAAAGGTCACATGCTCATTTGAGGTCAGTAACCTTGTTTGACCATTTAAAAGTAATGGTGACCGAAGTCATACAAGACTGCTCTGAGCTTGGCATTCGAATAAGCGACAAAGATTACGCTAGGCAGTATGTTTCAAAAACAAAATGTTGACCTCGATCATTTTAGGTTAATGGCCTATTCTGACCTCGAAAAAGTCAATGAAAGATGTATAATGCGGTTCCTACTGTCAATGAATTTGAAATGAGTACCAGAAACTATCCCATACAGCACGCCCTAGAGTAATAAAATAGGTTGTTTTTGACCTTGTTTTGACATTCATACGTGACCTGTACCTGTACCATACCTGACCTGACCTTTGACATCCATGCCTGATTCATACCTGTAGCATCAGACCTTAAGTCAACTTAATATGCTCATTCAATATTTGCGTTTCCTACGAAAGCATGTCAGAGACGTATGGCTTCGTCTAACTCTCCGTTGTAGCATCAGATTGAACGATTCCCCAGAAATTGACTTTGCTGAAGCCATAGCCTAGCTTTGACCTGTCATAGGTCAGCGACCTTACAAGTTACATCCAAACTTTAATACCAGACGATTTGTTATTCAATTGCTTACAGGTATGCAACATTTGGCGCGGATACGCCGCACCGTTCGGAAACCATTTGGGAAAAACCTTCGGTGGGGTCAACTGCCTTTTGCCAATTGCCAATTGCCGGTGACCCCCACCCGAGCGCGTGTTAAGCCAGTCAAACAGTCATAGAACATCCGGCACACTGTCCAATTTTTGTTGTCCGTAGATCATCCTAGCTCTCATATTAAACACGTTCTGCAACATGACAGCTGTCGTTCTGCAATATGACAACTGTCGTTCTGCAATATGACAACTGTCGTTCTGCAATATGACAACTGTCGTTCTGCAATATGACAACTGTCGTTCTGCAATATGACAACTGTCGTTCTGCAATATGACAACTGTCGTTCTGCAATATGACAACTGTCGTTCTGCAATATGACAACTGTCGTTCTGCAATATGACAACTGTCGTTCTGCAATATGACAACTGTCGTGCTGCAATATGACAACTGTCGTGCCGTCGGTGCTCCCCGGGTCCGGGCGCCGTAACGGACATGGGAGAACACAAACGCGTCCGTGATGCGTGACAAAACATTAGCAGGTAACACATATTCGGCTGTTAGGGGAGCGACGAGAATGCAAAACCGACTGGTGGCATGACTCACATGCGGCTCCCAGGACATCGCAGGCTCCATTATTACGCCCGTATCCCCTCGCGCGGCATTGCTTTGCGCAACTCTTTGTGTCTATAACATATAACTGCTTTTTACCAGACCAAAGGTATTGAACGGCTTCTCTTGAGCCGGGAAATAGTGTAGCACGCCTTTGCCAAATCTTGTGCGCAATATTTCCGCAGTTTGAAAAGATGAATCACATTAACTACCTTAAGCGAACCCTCGGCCGCGACCAGGGGCGCAGCCAGAGTCTTGTTAAAGGGGGAGGGGCGCAGAATTGACATAGTGCCTCCTGATGGTACAAAGCTCACGAAAACGTTTTGCCGTCATTTTTCCTTTCGATGAGCTTGAAATTTTTCAATAAATTTGATTTTTTTCCTTTCCTTTAAACTGAACTTTAAGTAATAAACTACCGGAAGATGCATTTCTCTTTATGTTTTAAAGTCAATATTTGAGGGCGGATTTGGGCGTTCAACTAATGTGCGCAATAACCTACCGGCGCTGCTTTTACAATGATCCAGTAGACGCCTCCTAAGCCTATAGCAATCTGAGGCTTCTTCAGAAATATCGAAGTTTTACAGATATTGCAAGGGCCCCGCAAACGAAGACCGAACTGGGGTCAGCAATTTGAATTTACGTTGTCAACCCATGGTCTTCTGGAAATTGTGATCACTCATTCAGAATCGATTAGTGAACAGAACTGCTTGAACAACGACCACAACATAGTTCAAGCATGCGGACTTGGAAGTCTCCAGAGCAAACGATCCGACGCCCGGCGTTGCAGTCTCCAAAGGCTGCGTGGCGTTGGCTCTGTGGCCAACATAAGGCGGTGAGCCGGCAGCGGCCGACAACGATGGCGTATTCAAAAAACAGCTACAAACGCTTTAAGACTTTCTACCGTGCGTGTAAAAAGCGGTACGGACGCATATTTCACTTGTGGGATTTTTTAGACTGATTTTTGAAACGGATCAGCATTTATAGCACAACCTGGAGCTGGAATGTGGTGGGAAGCTGAAGAAATAATGGAGGTATTTTTGTTTTTTGTGTGAGATCGCAACCACCACCTGATGATATCTGCGGCGGTCAACGCTTTTCGGTTTGAAAGAAATTGCAAGTCTGGTTGTCGGTGCTCTTGCTGCTATGATTGCGAGCCCGCAGGCTCAATACTTGTTTATGTAATTTATTTCACTAGCCGAGTCTGCAAAGATGGATAAAGACGGATGAATATCAAAGATGGATGTACATAAGTGAAACAAGGTTTGGCCTTTTTCCCGTTTTCACGTTTTGCTTCATTTAGATCCACTCTGCTGGACACTAGCGAGATCCCTTACCCCTTTCCGGGACAGCGGGTCCGTGGGTAGAATACGGGGGCAGAGTTTCTTTCCCAGTCAGGAGATAGAGGGCCATTCCATCCAACGCGCCAATTGCCATTCTGGCGACACAGGTGTCCACGGGTCGATCCGGAGGCCCTAAGAGGGATGTCTCATACATTGGCCCCTTTGCTGACGCAGGAGGCCGTCTAATCCTGGCAGCTCTCCCAGGATCGACGCAAGGGCCGACACTAACGAAAAAAAGATCCCTTAATATCGCCGGAGGGAGTTCAGTAACTGGCGCAGCGACTTCTGTTCGGCTTAACGGACCCTTGGCTGAAATGGGAAGGAGAACCCCCTCTCCGGTTGCGTGCTGGATACCCTGAGTCACACAAACCCGACTGACGTGACTTGCATCGCCTTATTGTGGACTTTCACGTCAGTTCTCGTATCTCCTTTCATTGTCAGAAGGCCCTGGCCAAAACAGGAGGCCCTCTAGCATTCGAGGGCCCGTCCCAGGCACTGTTCAGCAAATGCTCCCTGGCAGACTCGGGACCACCTGCCGAAACAAGACCCCCTGTTAGCCATTGTGGGTCCCTGACCGACACGGGCCCCTCCTTGTTTCGGGGGCCCGACCAAAGAAAAAAGCGGGCCCCGGCCCTGCCCCTGCTCGGGAAATGGGGCTCCAGGGCTCAGACCGACCCGGAGCCCACTGTTCACTGTAGTAGTCTCTGGCCGGGATGGAGGTCCGCATTGTTCCATAGGGTTCCCAATCGGTGCAAGAGGCTCTGTTACTGGCATTTGAAGTACCAGCCCTACGGGCCGTGGTCCTTGTGATCTACAGCGAGCTCTTCGGGCCCTTCATTGCCTGTCATGACTGCCCTACGGGCCTCCTCAAACACTGACCCTGGCCGACTCGGGCTCCTTGCCAACACTGGACCTATGTCAGACGCTGTTGGCCCCTGGACCAGACAGAGGCCGCTCATTGACTCAGGTGCCCGTCCAAAATAAATTTCCGGCCCCCGGCCTTGCCACCGGCTTGGGGAATTGGTCCTCAGGCCCAGACCCACACTGAGCCGACTGCTCATTACTGATGGTGCCTGACCTCATCGACTCAGGGGGCCTAATCAGCGTAAAGGACGCTTTGAATGGCACCTGAGGGTTTACTCCTGCGGCCCGGGGTCTCTTACACTCCCTCCGGCCAGTCTTTCGTGCCATTCTGGCCCTCAAAACTGGCCCTTAATGGACGGTCACGGGTGTTCCTTCGGCGTCTCGGGACGTAAGAGGGAGGCCGAGGGGGGCACGTGCCTCCTGTATTCTCCCCCTGCTTGCGCCACTGGCCGTGACGACTTCCGGACGCTGTATTGGAGAGCAGCTGTATCACCGAGTGGGCCAGACGTACTCGTCAGCAGATCGTCGCCAACGCGTCAGAAGACCGTTACGTCTGCGGTGGGACCGGTCCGCCTTGACAGATGAGGCCGTGCTCGGCTCGGCTGGACACGGGCCGCCGCGCGCGCCGCCCCGTCAGCAGGGGTGTCAGCCGCGCTCGGGTATCGTCATCAGGGCTCCGCCCCGCACCGTAACGTGCCGGCCCGAGCCACTCCACCGTGAGCCGCTGCCGACGGGGCCCGGGTGTCACCGTCGACGGTGGGGTCACGGAGCCCCGGCGTCACCGTCAACGGTGGGGTCACGGAGCCCCGGCGTCGCTGGGAACGGCTAGGTCACGGGGCCTCGTTGTCGCTGGGAACGGCTGGGTCACGGAGCCCCGGCGTCGCTGGGAACGGCTGGGTCATGGAGTCCGGTGCGGTAGTGCTCCGGGTCACAGGGTGTGAGAACGAGTGGATTGCATGAGACGTAATCTGGTGCACACAAATTCGGTACGGAGAGAATCGTGAGGAAAGGGTCTGGGGCGACAGGGTGGCAGAGACTCAGATGACCCCAACACATCGCAGTGTTCGAAATGGGAGGCTTCTGTGACAGGGTTTGTCAAAACATGGAAGAGCGGCTTTGGCTTCAGCTGTACAAACATAAGTCAGGCGACAGAGCATGAGTGCATATAGCTATATATGTATGTAATCGATCATCTGGGCATGTACAACCGCATTTCTGCCTGATGATGTTTATTTCATCAGGAATGACTAACACAGTAAGGTGCGCACCGCTCGTCTGCCGGCAGGTTGTCGTATTTCGTGCCGACCAACCAGACTGCTCCGGGTGCAATGACACCCAGTAGCACTTGCATGAACGGGCCGGAAGGCCGGTTGGTGTCCGGTGACGCGCTGCTGGAGGGCGTCGGCGCTCAGGGCTGGTACCAGCGCCGCCTGCTCTGGCTGTTCGTGCTGCCCGTCTGCTTCTTCCTGCCCGTGGTCTGCCTGAACGTGCTGATGCAGGTGACGGCACCGGACCACTGGTGCCACGTGCCCGGCCGGCCTGACAGCGTGTCCCTGGACCAGTGGCGCCAGCGCACCCTGCCGCGGTGAGTGGGGCGTCCGCCGCGCTGAGGTCCACCGCTGATGGTTGTGTTGTGATTAACGATGAATTTCCCGAGCCAAAGGACGTTCCGTTCGCCTGCGGCTATGCGGGAGTAAAACGATGAATAGCGTGCACTGTCGAGATCCGGACACACGCAGGGAGCGCGTCCACCACAGGAGCAGGCGATGCACCCCACGTGCTCACGACTATTTGTTCGAAAGTTTTAGAACTCAGTGCTCCCGCTGCCAATAACAGACAAATAAACAAAATCAGTGCCCGGAAGCCCCCAGGACCCAAAGAAACATACATAAATTTAACTTCGCGTAAGCAAAAACGATGGTCAGAGTTTGGTCATATGATAACTGCGTAATTAGTTCAGGTGGTGGCGCTGCTTTTGCAGACTGCTTTGTTATCATGTTGTTACCAGATTTCATCGGATCAGAGAGTACAGTAACGGGTCAATGCAACTGCGGTCAGAGATGCAGAAGTCATTCATCGCCAAGAAAAGAGCTATTACTGGGCCGTTGGCAAGGAGGTAAGACATGAACAGCGACATTTGTTATGCACCAACACGGCAATGTTTTCTTTTGCCCACACGAACAAGCTTACGACTTATAAGCATTGGAATCATCTTTTGTTATGAGCCCAAAAATAGCCCTGAAATATAATAGCCCCATTTAAAACCAGGCCAGAAAGCGCAAGATTGCCAATTTTCTTGGCCTGTGCCTGGCGTGTGTGCATAAAACAAAGCCGTGACCAGACCCAGTACAAATTTGCATTGCTCCTGCTCAATCTGCATTGCTTATCCGTGACGTCGCTAACCCCTGGTCAACAACACAGAATGTTCTGAATAAAAAACCTGGGATGCAGGCTGCCATTTATATCCGAGCAACATGTCATCTTGTTATGAATATCAAGCTACCTCCCCGAAATATACAGCGAGTCGCATAAAAAATAATATGGACATGACCGCTCGGACAAACGGAGGGATCAACTGCACAGAGCCCGGTCCCACGGGGGGGGGGGATGAGTGCGTGCCTCCTGACTCAACGGAGGGACCAACTGCGCAGAGCCCGGCCCCACATGGGGGGATGAGTGCGTGCCTCCTGACTCAACGGAGGGATCAACTGCACAGAGCCCGGCCCCACATGGGGGGATGAGTGCGTGCCTCCTGACTCAACGGAGGGATCAACTGCACAGAATCCGGCCCCACATGGGGGGATGAGTGCGTGCCTCCTGACTCAACGGAGGGATCAACTGCACAGAGCCCGGCCCCACATGGGGGGATGAGTGCGTGCCTCCTGACTCAACGGAGGGATCAACTGCACAGAGCCCGGCCCCACATGGGGGGATGAGTGCGTGCCTCCTGACTCAACGGAGGGATCAACTGCACGGAGCCTGGCCCCACATGGGGGATGAGTGCGTATCTCCTGACTCCGATAGGCCCAGGGCTCCCTGCTGCTGAACAGCGGCCGAGGAGTCCAGCGCCGGCACACGTGCTCACGAGCGGTGTAAGCGCAGCGCGGAGCCGGTCGATGCCGGCGCCGCTCGAGGCGGATACCATCTCGGTCCCTGCATACTTGTATGGCAGCAGTGCCTTATAGAGCTCATGCCCGGGCGGTGGCCGTGACAGCGTGGTTGAAGTTCGCGTGGCTGCGGCCAGGCGGAGGGCGGGGATGGGCGCACGGGCCCTGTTACGCAAACACTATATCGGTATATCAGGACTTAAGCCCACTGGTCCACCCAAATAAACAATAGGATCTTCTGGCCTGAGAAGTATGAAAATAGCCAATAGAGGTGGGCTTCAGATCGACATGCCTTGAGTGGATCGCTCTTCATTTTTTACAAGATATTCCAAAGGGCTTACGAGTAAATTTAGTTTTGTCCGGGCGGTCAAAGAACTGTCAAAGCGTCAGTTGGCACTTGTCACCTAAGCGGCAACCGAGGATTCCGCGGACCGCCCGCAGCCGACCAACAGCTGTTGCATTAACCAGTAACGGACCCAGGGGTGTAACTCTCTAAAATCGGCTGGGAAGCTCAGGCGAAAAGGTTTGCCAAACCTATCTTACCTATCTATCCCTGATTTGTAACCTATCTTACAACCTGATTCCTCCTTGAATTTCGACGACGTTTTTTTGTCCCCGATCCCGAAGTAACAAAAAACTTACGTAAGTTCTTCAGTGCACCAGCGAGGAGCATTATTCACCTAGATAAGGCAATAGTAATAGCTTTATTGCGCGGAGGAAAGCCAGGAGAATGGAGATATATAATAGAGAATACGGGAAAATTTAAAAGCAAAACTTCTGCTATTGTTTCGATAGAGGCATCTTGCCGAGACATCAACCCATCTATATTTCCATTCTCCTGGTTGTTCTCCTAGGCCTAAAGCTAGTACTGCTGTCTTATCTGTGTTAAGAAAAACTTGCATAGTATTTTGTAAATTTGACGTCGTTTTCCGGCGGAAGAATGATTTCACAGTTCAAGTTAATGTGGGCTGCTGTCCTGAAAAAGATTTCAAATGGGGTGCATTCACAGGAAAAACCTCTTCGTAAATTTTAATACGGAGTAACTTATGACTACCGCTGTCATTAATCATGCTATATAGCCACCACAGCCACGGTTATGCGACAAGACACTTGCCACTTGGGAAAAACATGTGCTAACTTTTATCTGCGCCACTGTAATTTTAAAAGCTACCACACCTTGCAGTAAATTGCTTTTTATCTCAATCCAGGCGTTAATCTTTGGAAAACAAATTTGCCAACACTTGCAGACTGGCTTAACACATGAAGAAGTTGGCATGACAAAGACGTAAGGTTGCAGGATACTTTTTGGTACGAAATTAACATGCCACCAATATCGATGCTTGGCGCCTGCTACCCAGTCATGTTATATGTGGCTTATATGTGGCGAGTAACTGCCCGTTGGTGACATGGCCATTACCTTGGCCTATATGTGGCGAGTAACTGTCCGCTGGTGACATTGCCATTACCTTGGCTTGTATGTGGCGAGTAACTGCCCGCTAGTCGCATGGTCATTACCTTGGTTGCCACGATCTCGTGCGTATACGGAGAGCGCTGGCGACACAGAGCGGTACGCACTTGAAGATCGTTTGCATAATTCGAGACGGAAAAATATGATGCCCTTTACATGCCTGGCGAATCAGCGACATCGCAGCAACCATTTCAGCGCATGTGCCTTGTTGTTTCGAACGCTGAATTTCGTTCACATGCATTCGGAATTCGGTCATTAATTTTAGGGTGTAGGAATCCTAGCCGCCTATAGCCGCTGCCAAAACAACGTAGAACAATCACATTTTCCTAGAGCATAGTGCAGCCGATTGACGCGATACAACACTTGTGCCTCATCTCAGTATAAAGTAGGCCAACATGAACCAATCGCGATGCGTATTAACTGACCATCCTTACCATACGTCCAACCCTGAACACCCGCAGCCCCCAGCTGAATGTAAAAATTCAACAAAATGGCCACCATCGCCGTGTTCGCAAGCTGCTGTCAGCGCTGACAAACGACATCTTCGAAAAGCCATTTGCTAGAGCTAACGATACCTTCTCAATGATGTTGATGTGTTGAGTACTGTATATTGCTTGTGGTCTGCCCGATAGCTTCGTTCTTCCATACAAACCAGAGAACATTCGCGTGCTTTGGCAATATCTCGTCAGTGAAGGCAAATTGGTAGAAATCGATGACACCAAGTATTTAATCTAAGCTCCCTACTATCCTACGTGCAACGTCGAAAATACCAGCTTGACAAGACACATTCCCTTTCGGTGTGCGTTCGTGATAGAAAAACCAAAAAACAAACACTTGCTGGAACTAGAAAAGGTAATTTCCCCGCTGATCGACTCAAATGAAGATGCCCCCCAAATAATTAGTGCCATGGAAGAGGCAGATGTAACTGAACAGATTAATATAGATATTAAGGAATGGAAACATTCCCCACAGGAAGGTGTATCAAGCAGCCTATGCTGAAAACAGTTCATCTTAATTTTTCAAGAAAAATGTAGAGCAAGATTGCGCACCATTCATATATGTTGTCATATCAATCTACAATGAAAGGCGTGCTTGCCGTTGAGATATAGCTGATTCAGAACGAGTGCACTGTCTTCTATGCTAAGTCTCACAAACGGGCACTACGGGAGGTCTCTGAGTCTAATAGAGGTTTAGAAATGGTACAGAGAATCACTAGTGCACAGCGCGAGAAATGTGAGCCGCCAATCACAGCCGCCGTATTGACGGCGGTGCTCGTAACCGTGTCAAAATGTCGCCCTACCCATGGGTGGACAGCATAATTCTTTAAACCTTTGAGGATTTTTCCCCTTTGCTTTTGGTTACGTCGAAGGAAACTTATGGACAAGTGCTTTTCTTTACCATAAATGTAACTTCTGTGTGTGTTCTTCTTAATGTTCTTTACCATAAATGTAGCAACGTTGGTCCTAAAAAGGAAAGAATAAGGAGTAGGCATATAAAAACCTTGATACTGATAGGTCTTTTACCTATAGCCTATAAAATTATTGCAAACACGATGGCTTTGTGGAAAAAAAAGGTGGTGGACCGCTGGATTCATTCAAGCAAGTCTGTCCTAGATGACTGACATGTTGATAAGAATTTCAGGCTGATTCTTGACCTGATGGAGTACACAGAGAGCAATACAATTAAACGATCGCTAGTTCAGCGCTGTTTTTTCAAGACCAGGACTGGACTGCAAGGTAGGATTGCATAAGCTCGGACTACGTAAACTAGACTTTAAAAGCATGGGTTTTCGGGCCCCACTTTCGATGTTGGATATCCGTATTTTACCCGACTCTAACACAGCACGCGAACAAATGTTAATAACTGCTACTCTCCAGAGTTCCTAATCGAACGTAGAAAATGACAAGGATGCCCACTAAGCTTTCCGACTTGTAGGTTAAAACTCATACCGCTGTTGCGAGAGTATGGACAAATGGTTCTATTCAAGGCATTTAAGTCACCGATGCTGAA